CCCTCACTGCCCCATGCTTGACAAAGGCTAGGTATTGAAAGTGCTGTTGACCAAATAATTGCTCTTGGTGGGGGGTGTTGACAAGGTTGAACTGGGAGAGGGACACGGATTTACAGTGATGTACTAAATGTTATTGGCCTTTACTGAATGATAACTGGGTCAATAACTTCTTTTAAAGAAAACCTTGCTGTTTCCTCCTAGCAGTTGCAGACTTATTACCTACCCAGGGTGCTTTGGCTAAGGCAAGGTAGACGTTTAAATAAAATTTGTGCTAGGTCTTTGCTGTGCATGATCTTACACGTGTTTGCTTGGGAGTAACTAAACTGAGATCGGCGTAACCTACTCCCAATTAAGCATGCAAAAGATGGCAACGTTGCAGTCTGATCCTATTTGCCCTACTGGGTTGACCCAGCACTGCAACCCATACTCTGCCTTTAATTCATGGTGAGAGGGTTTTCCATAGCTTAGTCTCCCATGTACTTTTTCTCCTCTGGAGAAGAAATATTTTTTTAAAAGACACATAACCCAGTGTAGTTTTCATTTGGAACTGGCTAAGGAAAATCTCTAAGCCTAGAATTATAAAGGTATAAAGGGGGGGGGGGAGAGTCCCAAATAAACCTTTAAATTTTGCTTCACAGTCTCTTTTAAGAAGGAAGGTATTTTTCATTCACAGCTAAGCAGGGACACTTCATAAAACACCTTTTGACAAACACAGGCTGTCAGAGGGGGAAAATGGTCGAGCAGCCATCTTTCAGGGGCCTGGGAGTGAAACGCTAACACATTTATTCCCCCCTCAGTACAAAAGCTGAAATTTGGCCTCACTGTAATAAGAAAAGAAGACTGGTAAATGAAGGGCTGTGTTATGAGCTGTTGCAGCGGATGAGTCACCAACTGAGTGGGCTTGCAGGTCTGCAGCTGTGAATACTGCAGTAACAGACTGTCTCCTGTCTCTACAGGAGAAGGCGAAAAATCTTGGGTTGTTTTTTCCCCAAGACAAAATTTCCAATGAGAAACAAATACTTTCTATAAGGATTATTCATGGGAGTAGCTTTCCAATAACTTGTTCTCCACTCCTCTTTGCATATTTAACTGTTGCATCCATGTAATAATGGGAGTCGATGGTCCACAGCCCTTTTCGGCTGCTTGAGGTCGTCCAAACACATCTGTGTAGTTCAGAGCTCTTGTTGGAACGCAGCTGCTCTTGTTTTTATTATTATTTTTAAATCAAGTTTGAGTGCCCCAGCTTCAGAGAATACGTGATATTTGAAAAATGTGGTGCAGAAGGCCTTTTAATTCACTAAATTGGGTACATTTATATTTGTCTGCAAATATTTTCCAAGCTGAATCTTAATTAATGCCACCAGAAGTGAAATGATCGCATCCACAGCATCTCAAGATTTATTACTGCTCGCCGTGATGTACCAGAAATTGCAAACAAATGACACCACCAAAGTGGAAGCATGCTTAGCAGTTTGAGTCGATGCAAATTGATCAACATCATATTCATTCAAATGGCTGGAGAACTAGGTTTTCCTCTCTGTAGTATAAAATCTGTAAGCATAGCTGCTGGCCACCAGCTCATTATGCCTTTTCAGTGTCTCCCTCCAAATGATTAACAATTTGCCTGCCTTCAGTTAATTGTGAGGGCTACAATGAGGTTATGACCCTACAAATTGGCATATTGTCTCAACATTTGATGATGTGTCATAACAGCGGGTTAGGAGTACGCTGACCTCATTCAAAACATCTGGCAGGCAGCCTGCGTATCATAGAATTCTTACACACTCTCCCCGTGTATGGAATGAATCTGCAGTCACCTAGCAATAGCAATAGGGCAGTGCCTCTTATTTCAAAACATTCCACAGGCTCTGAAGCGTAGCATTTTATAGTTGTTAAACGGTGAGGTTTGCATGTTAGTGCTACATCCACAATGCCCGTTTCCAAAATCTCTCGTCATTACTTAATTTAAAGCAGCCACTGCCAAATGATTCCACTAGTATTTTTTAAAAAACAAAACACAACCCTTCAAATTGTTTCCAGAAATGCAATTTGGAGTGGGGGAGGGGAGTAGGATTGCCACTGGCTGCCAAAATAGAGATCCTAGCTGCCTCTTATATATTCCAAAGTTTAATTTCAACCTCTAACCAGATCCAGGGGGAAGAGGAAGGGTGGAGGAGCTGAGTAGAATATTTGTAAAATGCTTTGAGGGTTTTTTATACTAAGCAGTCTATAAATTTATGATATAATAAGTGGTGGATGCATCTTTGGTGTGTTTGGCAAATTTCCCAGTTGACATTGGGAAGTGAACAAAGCTAATTATTTGCTGTTCTCAGACCTCTTTTAAGCATAAGCAACGCTATCCCTATAAATATTCCTGCCAATTTCATAAACCAATTCAACATTATGTGAAGAAATCCCCATCAAAGATGTAATAGTAGATGGAGCGGGAACTCCCTATCTATCTATTTGCCAAGCCTGTGATCATCTTGGCTGCTTCTTTCGTAGCTGTTATGATGTCATACAATCCAGCAAACTGTACAGGTAATGCATCAAATGACAGGGCTGGAAGCCACACACCCCCATGGCCAACCAGGTATCTGGAGGGATGTGTGAGGAAGCCTATAACAGGACATGAACCCAGGAGCCGTTTTCTTGTTGTGAATCCCCAGAACTGGCATCATTTAGAGGCTAACACAGAGCTACATGCCAATTCACCACTCTCAGTAGCCTCATTCTCCATAAATTTGTGGGGTCTGATGAAACAGCTGATAGGACATGGGTGTGGAGGCGTGATTTTAATCTGGAAAGCCACATTCTCTTGTGAACCATATTCTGGAGACTAGATGCTAGTGGCGCCTGGGACCAGAGGGAGGAGTGGGAAGAGCAATGGATGTGACTCTTTCCTCTCTAAACAAGCATATATTCTAGCCACACAGAAGTCACCAGTTTGCAAATGCACACACACTTCCATCCAGGCAAGCAAGAAACATGATCCCAGGTGAAGAACACATTCCAGGCAGGCGAAAGCAGTCAAGGAGTGAGAGGATGGGGGTGCGTGTGATAGGTTTGGCCTGGAGGGGGAGCAAAGAAGGTGTGGCCTACAAGGCGTATGACCTGGAGAGTGTCCCAGGAGCTAGCCAGCGAGGCCTGGGGAGCTGCACTTTGCCTCCCAGGCTTGAGGTGCCCCACCTCGTTATAGGATTTCAATAAAAGCAGAAGCAAGGAAATAAGGAAGAATGTTGTCATACCCATTTGTGGAAAGTACTAAGAGATTAACAGGCCTGTTCCCCATGTCCTCCTTGGCTTCTCTCATTGCACTTTCGCCATGGAGGCAGGTCTTCCCATTACCTGGGGTTAGTATATGAGAAAATTGAATAGCAGGTGCTAAATCCCTCAGATCTCTCCCCCCCCCCCTCCGCCAATGCAATGTTTGCCCCCAGTTCTTACAGTCTCAGATACAGAGTGGCTCTCCTACCCTTAACTGGCAGCCTGACTTTTGCCATTTCAGCAACTGGACAGGGATCAGATGTTCCTGGTCTGAGTTCTGGGCACCTGCTCAGGGGAATGCATGAAAAATCTGGTTTCAGAGGCAATTGTGGTGAGATAGCCAGTGGTGAGATGGGAAGGAGAGACTGGGATGGGATTTGGGGGACGTTGGGTGGAAGGCCTGCGAGTTCGGCTGAGAGGGGGATCGTGCAGGCATTTGGCATGGAATTCCTAATTCCTACTGAAATCAAACCCTGGGCCTGGAGCAGCCCTCGTAATGTCCACAGGGAACTGACATTTCTCCTCTGTCCTTTGATTTCTTTCAGGATCTCATGAGATGGCTGACCTCCTTTCTGGAATCTGAAAACATCCTCCTTGAGGCCCTCTTCCAACTGAGGAATAGTAGTGTGGGGGTGGTTAGCTTGACAAGAAGCTGTTCAGAATGGAGCAAGGAAGACTACATGGAGGCAGGGTTGAGAACTCCCCCCCCCCCATCAGATATAACATTGAACTCTTGGCATGGGAAAAATGGTAGACGATGGAAATTTTGGCTTGCTGTGCAATTCAAGATAATATCCAAAAAATGGTTTATAGATGGTATCTGATGCCAAGTAAACTCTGCAGGATGTATGAGAGGATTCAATGATTGTTGGAAATGTTCAGAAAAAGATGGTTTTCTATACCATATGTGGTGGCTATGCAAGCATGCAAAAATAATAGTTGGGAAATGGTATATGAGGAACTTAAAAAGATGCTTAAATTCACCTTCCCGAAAAGACTGGGAAGCCTTCTTGCTGGCAATAATAGGGGAAGAGATACCAAGGAAAGTAAGGGATTTATTTTTATATGCAACAGTGGCCACAAGAATAACTTAGGCAAAGAATTGGAAAGAAAAGCTTGTTCTGACAAAGGATCAATGGTTGCAGAAATTAAGTTTGCTGAGTTAGCAAGTTTGGTGGCCAAAATAAGAAATTATGATGGGGGGTGGGGTGGGACAAGAAGTGAGTGGGAGTATCTTGAAGAATACTTTTTAAAGGGTGGAATCAAGGTTAACTAGCAGTTGGGATAAGCCTAATGATCAGCAGTAGACAAGATAAGGGATCAGAAAGAATGAAAAAAGGATCAAGAAACATAAGGAGATGTAGGAAACCAAAAAATATGAAACAGGATGTCAATGAAAGATAAGTCGGGAAGTCTATATAAAAAAAACGATAAGATGATGAATGGAAAATGTATATATATATGTATATAAATAAACATTTAAAAGGGGAAGGGATGGGGTGAAGTATGCACAGGATTGCGTGCAAAATGAAGCCGTTTCAAGTCTGCCTGAAACGCACCCACGGTAGGCGCGTCGCGCTGCAAGCCTGCTTCTTTCTCTCGGGGCTCAGCTTGAAGTTCTTGCGGGGCCCTTCGCTATTTGGGCGCCCCATTCGCGCCGTTAGGCTCGCCCCTCCCGCTGCTGCGCCTATCAAAACGCCCCGGCCCCGGGCGACAGGTTTCGTAGCCCCACCCCTGGCGCTCCATGTGCGGAGCGTGAGGCCGGTTCCGCCTCCCGCGGCCAGGCCCTCTCTGGAGCTGAAAATGGCTGCTGTCGCGGGGGCGCTAGGAAGGTTACTGAGGCCCTCGGTAAGTGCGAGCCCCGCTTTGCTCCCTCGCAGTTCCGCAAGTCCCGGAGAAGCCATGATCCCGGGCGCTCGGGCGGGCCTGCGGAGCCTTCGTTGCGCGCGCGTTGCGCCTCCGGGGCCGCATTTTCCCGTTTCCAAGGCCTGCTCCTCCCCTCCCTCTAGATAGACTATCTTGACTTTTGCAGGCGTAGTGTAGTCTGCACGAGGGAAAGATCCGCCCCAGCGACTAGTTCCACCGGCCCCGTTCCGAAGGCTAAACCGATTCTGCCCCGGGGACTCGAACTTGCCCTCCGAAAATGGGTCCGCTGGCAACTCGCTCCACCTCGAAGGCTGGCGCGGACGGATCATGCTTATTATTATTGCGCCGTGACACTTTTTTACTTAACCAGAGTCAAGCCAGAGGTTCCCTGCCTTTTCCAGATCGGAAGCCCCCTTTTCCCTTCTGCCCCCCAGAAGTGTTTGGGTCGGGGAAAGAGCCCAAGTGCTCCTCTGCAGCCTGCCAGTGCGTTTTGGGGAATTTGGGGCGCGGATGGGTATTTCCCAGTTGCAGGAGCTCTGCTGAGGCTCGCAACTTTTTTTTGGGAGGGCGCATCTCGTGCAACCCCTAGATGTGGGTCCAGTGAGGCTCCTGGACGCCACCTTTGCCCGTAACGTTTCCCCGCCGTCTGTTTTCAGGTCTTCCCCTGGAGGGCGTGCGCCGCTGCCGGAAGGTGCCTTACAGCCGCCGCGGCTGCAGGAGGGCGGAAGTGCGCGAACGGTGCGGCGCCCGCTTTTCCTCCGCGGCATTTCAGCACTAGTAAGTGTGCGGCCTTTTGGAGGGCGCTGTGGTGGGGGGGGGGGGGTGACAGCGCGATCTTGCACTCTCCTACTCAGAAGTAAATGCACGTAGGAGCTTGTTTGTACTAACGCTCCATTGAATGCTCTCTTCCCAAGATAATGCCGAAGATCCTTCCTCCCCTGCTCTGCGTGTGATGTTATTTATTTGGCCCGTTGTCCAGTTGGTTCTGCAGTGATTTGAAATCGGAGTAGCTTAAAAGAGATTTTGTTGCTGAAGAAACACCATCATTGTCCCAGAATGCGTTACTGGCAGCTCAGTAGGAGTTTTTGCCAGCTGTAACGTGTGAAAATAACATACATGTGCCTCGATGTTCAGGAATGTGCGTTAGTGTGCATGTCTCCCCCTCCCACATGCACACACTTTAGACTGCTTACTTCTGGACTTCAGAACTGTGTGTGTGAGGAAGGGAGTTGTAAGGAGTTGCAGTTCTAGGAGTTTGAATGGACAAATCCTTAATAGGTATCCTCAAAATATTCCCAAAAGGCAAAGGCGGGTAAGCTAGAGAGCAGTTTACTGGTGACAGAAATCCGTAAATAAGTTGATTTAAACCCACATGCTACAATACTGAATTCTTTACCAAATTATGTCCTTCCAGGGCCTGATTACAGAGCATAAACATTCCAGGCTATCTGTGAAGCCTTGGTTTTGAAATAGTGTTGAGATAAAAACTGACACCAAGAAATAGGATTCTCATATGTTAATAATAATCCCATTTTCTGAATATGGATCCTTAGGGGTTCAAAATGGCATCCACATATGAGAGAGAGAGTATCAGCAGGTTTCAGGGATCCCCAAGGTTTACAGAAGTTTTTTTTTTGGGGGGTGGAGGCAGTAGAAGAAGGAAGGCAAAATCTCTATAAGGTGGAGGGCTGGAAAATAGACCAATGAATATAGAGATGCTTAGTGGTGGGATGGTATGTCTTGGAAGAATTTGTGACTGGCTGGCACCCCTAACAGTGTGGAGTACTGCAGTTCTTTGCAGGTTACACTTGTTTCTTCTATAATGCCTCTATCACATGCTTTATCTAACTTCTCCTAGGTTCTTCAAGATTTGTTCCTGCTGTCACCCAGCATGCTCCCTATTTCAAGGGTACAGCTGTGGTTAATGGGGATTTCAAAGAGCTGAGTTTAGATGACTTTAAAGGAAAATATCTGGTTCTTTTCTTCTACCCTTTGGACTTGTAAGTAATGCTTCTATCTCTTTTATACAGACTTTGCCTACACTCCTTTAACTAGCGGGTCCCTTTATCTGCAAAACAGTTAACTTGTTCTCGTTTGAATCCTGCCTATCTTTGTGTAGGATAGCCCGAGCCTTTTATGTAAGCTGTGAATGATAAGAAGTGAACTAGAAGCTGTCTTACCAATGCCTGTTGAAGGCAGGGAGTGGGTGTGTTGCTTGGGGGTGGGGTGGGGTGGGGTTCACATGGAAAACTAATGTATTTACGTAAAAAAAATAAAATTCTTTGTATAGAATTTTTTTTTGCTGTATCTTTCACAACAGAGAATAGAACAGACAGAAACATCCACATATGGTAGATTGTAACGAAGGGAAATTAAACTTTTGGAGAATCCTGTGCTTCTGCACAAAATAGAAGAACATTAATGCCCACCATTTGAGCATTTCAGGCAAACATGGAATCAGTACTTTTAGTGACTAGAGGGGAAGGAATGTTACTTATTTTTGGTGGATAAAACTAAGAAAAGCATGCCTCTACCTAGCAAATTAACTGCCAGCATGCATACTTTGGGTAGCCATACGATCTTGTTAGATGTAAGTCACCAGCTTCCTCCTCATTGGAGTCGTGCTGTGGCTCATCTTGATGATGATGATGATGATGCCACCAAACTTTGGAAGAATGGTGCCGCCTACAGCTCAACTTGGGATCCTTAGGAATGCCAGATAAAGTTGTCTGAGTAAGGATCTGTTAAACGTATTGACAGCGAATAGAGCTCCAATCTTGACGCTAAATTTCTCAATGTGGTTTCATGGCAGAATGATAGTATTCCTCTGACCTTTTTCCTCTGAACTCAAAGTCTGTGACCCTGAGGGCTTGTGAACTCCCTACCCGCCTTCTGCAGGCTTTATGCCCAGGAGGGGCAAATACCTTTTCCTCTTCTCTGTTTGAATTTGCAGTGGGGGGAAAATAGGTGCATCCTTGAATCAGGGCTGGCTCATTCCCCCTTCACGTTCTTGCTGTGTTTCTTCCCCTTAGCACGTTCGTGTGCCCAACAGAGATTGTCGCCTTCAGCGACAAAGCTAACGAATTCCATCAGGTGAACTGCGAAGTAGTTGGTGTGTCGGTGGATTCTCACTTTACTCACCTCGCCTGGATAAATACACCACGAAAGGTACAGACTGGACGCTTTTTCATTTAAAGCAGGGGTGATGAAACTTCTGCCTGAGGCTGAGGGTCAAATTCCCTTCTGAAGGCCACATCCCAGTGGGGAACAGGGCCAGAGGTAAAAGTGGGTGGAGCTGTAGCCTTTTGGGGGGGGGGGTTGAGTCAGTTTTAAACTTACTACACAGAAACCCATTCCTTCAGAGCAACGGGTGTGACTTTTAGCTTTGTGCAGAAGGCTATTTTCTACATACACACACCCCTTGCTCCTCCCATCTAGGCAAGCAAGAAGCTTCTAGGGGGAGCCCTCACAAAATGACTGGTTACATGCTCACATATCTAGTGAATCTGATGAACTTGTATGTCCACTTCCTACAATAGATTGGCTTTTTGTGTGTTGTTTTCATTATTATTTTTTAGCTTTTAAAAAATTTACTGTACATCACCTTGAAATGCATCTGGGGAATAATAAGATTAGGGTAGACCTGGTTCAGATGTAATGTTCAGCTATAGTTTGGTGCTCTGTACACAAGACCTGGGTTCATGCATGTCCACAAGTTTGTTTCCATTTTTAACCAGCCATCATTCTATGGTTACAAAACTTTGGGACCATTCATAGACATCCCAGTCAATGAGCTTTGCCATGTACCGTATTTTTCGCTCTATAGGACGCACTTTTCCCCCTCCAAAAATTGAGGGTAAATGTGTGTGCGTCCTATGGAGCGAATGCAGGCTCCTTGGCTTTAGCGATAGCAAAGCTAAGCCTTTGAAGCGCAGAGGGAGCACTCCCTCCGTGCTCCGGAGGCTTCACGTTGCTTTTGCTGAAGCCGGGAGAGCGAGAGGCGTCGGTGTGCACTGACCCCTCTCGCTCTCCAGGCTTCAGGGATAGTCGTGCGCAGCCCCTCCGGCAGGGAGAGGCTGCACGTGGCTATGGCTTCTTTAGCCCCGCGCAGCCTCTCCCGGCAGGGAGAGGTTGTGTGGGGCTAAAGAGGAAGCCAAAGCAGCCAGCAGGATGGATCCCGCTGGCTGCCTTGGCTTGTGACATAGCTGCGCGCAACCCCTCCAGCAGGGAGAAGCTGCACGGGGCTATGGCTTCTCCCGGGATGGAGAGGTTGCATGGGGCTAAAGAGGAAGCCAAAACAGCGAGCGGGATCCATCCCGCTGGCTGCCTTGGGTTGCGCCATAGCCGCGCGCAACCCCTCCGGCAGGGAGAGGTTGCGCGCATCCTGTACGCTGCTCTTTGGGGCTGGGGGGGAAATAAGATTTTTCCCCTTGATTCCCCCCCTCTAAAAACTGGGTGCGCCCTATGGTCCGGTGCGCCCTATGGAGCGAAAAATACGGTACTTTAGTGGGAGGGTGCTTTCCTCCCTAATTTTTGAGGAGCTGGAGAGTTGAAGGATAGTTAGGCTACAGAGACAGTTTGCTTCCCTGATTTCAGAATCCTTAGGAAGGAGTCGTTCAGTTTGGGCCTGATGTTATTAAAAACGATGTTGCTCACTTGAAACACATAACTACTATTCTTCTACCATGTTCATATTTTCTTTCCTTGGAATAAATGGATAGGTTTGAACTATGAGAATTCCCTCCCCCCCCATGTCTTCCTAAAGTGGGTGGGTGGGTGTCTATGAATCTTTTCCCTAGCAGAAATAAAGTATTTTTGCACAGCCCTCTTCTACAAGGATTGCTTTTTTCCTTATAACAATTGTAACCAGAGGTTTTCAGAACACAAGTCTATCTTCATGCTGTATGACGCTGTGTTACTGTGCAAAACATTTCCTTAGTACAGACGGGACCGGCTGCATGCGTTTATAAATGGCCTCACTTTTCTTACGTGTCCCACAGCCTTGAAGCCAGTGTATTCATGTGAAGAAATTTATGCATAAGTATTTGCAAAAGTAAAGTGTTAGTGGATCACCCAAGGTCAACAAGAGAAGGACCCAGGATGGTTCCTGAACACTTAATGAAGTTTGTCGGCCTTGTTTCAAGGATATGTTGTTTATCTTCGTAGCTCTGGAAATATTATGAAATTCAATAGATACACCCATCAATACTAATAACTACGAGTGCAGTGTGAAAGGCTTACATGTCTACATATGATAAGCAACAGCACTATTGCATCATTGAGATATAAAAGCAAATAATTGAAATATTTAATTCTTCCGTTGGTATATTTGATTCACTAAACACAAGAGGGAAAGGGGCTTTTTATTATTGCCCATTTATTTTGCATTTCAATAATCACACACCAACTTTATGGCTTTTAATTGGACTTATTCCCCATATATAAAAACAGTAGGTAGATAAACAGTAGGTAGATAATCTCCTTAACAATTTGCATTTAGTGAAGGCACTCCACTTTACTTTGGAGCCTCTTTCACAAAGGGAATATACCTTTATTCATATTATGCTTATTGCTTTTCTGCCTTTAAACCTACATCAAGCGACAATAGAGCATTTCATGAAAACCCACCTGCCACCCATGGTTGATTCCCTCTCCCCAGACGACTAAACGTGTCTTGGAGTTAATGTATCTGAAACTTATCATCACAGAGTCTCTTTAAGCCAGAGATAGGGAATCTCTGGCACTCCAGATGTTGCTAGACTTCAGATCCCATCACTCCTTGCTGTTGGCCATGCTGGCTGGGGCTGATGGGAGTTGTAGGCACACAGGTGCTGTTGGACCACAGGTTCTCTATCAATGCGTTGAAGCAAGGTTTTGATATGGACAGTCTCCAGTTGAGGAAAACTGATGCCCTCCCCCCTTCTTCTCTTTCTTAGAATGGCGGCTTGGGACACATGAATATCCCACTTCTGTCAGACTTAACGAAACAGATCTCTCGAGATTATGGTGTGCTTTTGGAAGGGCCTGGTCTTGCATTAAGGTGAGAGAGATTTATCTATTAGCTACCTTTAGTGTTTCTGTAATTGGACTGCACTAAGGCTGAAGCTTCCTTTTTAGTGCCAGGAGTTGCCTAAATGTGCTTAAGCTCAGAGGAGCAGTGGATGGTCTGCTAGCTATAAACCCCACATACTTTAAAGATAAACTATGCTGGCTAAGCATACTTTTAGCAGACTTTCCATAATGCATCTAGCCTGATCTCCTACCTGACATGGTAGAGCCTTGTGTGCACAGGAAATGGGTTGTGTCCAAAATAGCACTAAGTGAGTCATTCCATTAGGAGAATGATTTCCGCATGAGCAGTGGGACTTCCTCCTCCTCCATGTGCCCCCTAAGACTGTTCTGGGGGATTCCCAAACCCTCCAGAGAAGATTTGGGTATGTTGCAGAGTATGCATGGGGCCAAGGGGAAGGGGAGAAGTCCTGTTGTACAAGTAGAACTTGCTCTGCTCACACATTTATTTGTGTCAATACCACCCGCTTTTAATAGGGAGTATTCAAACATCCCTCTTTCTTTGCTGGTAGAGACCAATCAAAGCAAGTCTGTTAATCATGTGTTTCAGCTCTGTGAGTGCTAGAAAGAGAGAGTCAGAGAGTCCACTTTTAAAATGTTTTGGCGGAATCCTTGCTAGAGGTTGTGCAAGGCTTGGTTTGTATTTGGTATCAGAGACAAGATACATTCTTGGTATAATGCATGCATGGTGAGAGTTGAAACCCAGAAAAATCCCTCTACTAATATCAGTCAGTTGAAGGCCTTTTTCAGATATCTGCTTTCTACTGTGCCTTGTGTTGCCAAAGTGTACAGCAGAGCTTTCCAAACTTCTCATGTTGCTGACACACTTTTTGGACATGCATCATTTTGCAACACAGTAATTCAGTTTTATTAGCAAACTGGAGCTTAAACTAACCCCTTTCCAGCCCCAGAGGGAGCACGAGGAGCGTTCGTGCGACACACCTACCCACTGCAGCCGACACACTAATGTGTCGTGACACACAATTTGGAAAGCTCTGGTGTATAGGTTGGCATCTGTTGCTGAGCTGTAAAATACTTTAAAGTGCAACCAACACCATGAAATACAGGAACACTAGAATCCCTCAAATATATTTAAGTTCTACAAAACTATGAAATACTAAGTTCCATAACCATTATAGCTGCTCACCAATGCGATGGGGAATACCTGTGTGTGCAGCCAGTATGCATTTCAAACTGAAAAACAACTACAGCAAGTGCCCTTTGGAGTGCTAAACTATAAATTCTGCTTTATTTCTTCGAAGGGGTCTTTTTTTAATTGATCCTAATGGAATTATCAAGCACTTGAGCATCAATGACCTCCCTGTTGGTCGAAGCGTAGAGGAAACACTTCGCTTGGTGAAGGCGTTCCAGTTTGTAGAAACGCATGGAGAAGTCTGTCCAGCAGATTGGACTCCACATTCCCCCACGGTGCGTTGGCAAACTTAACATTCACAAACATTAATGTAATTGTTGGCAAGCCTCCGATCATCTATACGGGAGGGGTTCATATCTGAGCTTATTGAAATTGAAAAGAGATTAACTGATTAATGACTGTTAATTAAATTAATACATAAATGTGATTTGTGGCTAATCTAGACTCTTCTGAAATCTTGTTACAAAATAATGCATTTTTCTGTTTGAGTGTTTTATTAAGGTAAGTTGCTACCCTGTTAACTGGACAGAATTAGAAAGAAATGTCTTCTGCTGGTATAACAATCTGTCATGCTACATTGGTGCAATGCCTTTTGTATCAGGCACTTGTGTCATAGCAGCTTTGGTGTGCTAGCACTCAACTGAGTTATTTGTTGGGGTGAGGTGTGTTAAAGCACGACGTTGCATCCTATGTACACATATCAACAGGCTTTCAAATCAGGGTTTACCCTTGCACTTCCAGAACATTACAAGAAGGTATTTATCTTTTCAAATAAATTATAAGACTCATCATCCAGTGAACCCCTGCAAATTCACAACTGCTAGTGCTTTGATACACACCAGCCATTCAGCCTACTTGATGTGTGATCAAACACTCCCATAGAGCCTTTCCATTTATTATCTGTGGCTAGAGAACACACAAAGAACAGTTCTGAGCAACCGGCCCACATAGAAAATTGTAAACCATGCAAGATGAAAGGATGTTGACTGGGAAGGCAAAGCTAGCTGACAACTCGTCTTAACAATCTTTCCACAAATGCAAGTTCCATCTGGTATTAGTGAAACCTAGCTAAGCGTAGTTGCTTGTATAAGAGCTTATGTTTTGAATGTAGGAGTTGATTCTCCTCCTACCATATTCACACTTTCCCCATAAAATATCATTTAACTTCAGTGTCATTAAATAATGGTGAATGTTTCTTTTTTTTTATTTTTGTCTGGATGTGTGCTTGGTTAGCATGAATAAGGAAGACAAGGATTTAATATTTCTTCCAACTGTTCTTTTTAACATTTTTCGTTAGTGCTAACAGCATAGAGGGCATCGTTTATTTAACTCCTGTTTGGAATGAATATAATTTGGTACTGATCTTCTGTTTTAATGCTTTTGCTTTGCAGATCAAGCCAAATCCAGAAGAATCAAAGGAGTATTTTGAGAAAGTAAATAAATAAGATCATGAGTAATAATGAGGTAGAAGTAGACTACATTTCCTCCAAACAAAGCTGACTTCCAGAAAGAGCAACTATGATTGTAATAAAACTTCAAAATTATTTTAATATCTGTTGTGATGGAAAAGTTGTTATATTTTGCAAGGTTTTTACTATAGGGAGGAGTGACTTTGTCCCCAAGTGGATTTAAGCAACATTCATGGTATTTCTTACATGCAGCATACTCAGAAGCAAAACAATGCCTACCTACCCATATTAAATCTGGGATATATCCATGCTTTTGAATTGCTTACAAGGTAAACTGCAGGCTTCCCCTTCTTTAAGGAGCTGGTTAGATTTTTAAAACAAAACAACCCCCACCCCAGTAGGTTCTGCCTTTTCCACCTAAACAGCCCATGCTTTTCTTTTGGCCATAGGTGGGATGTATTACAGATGTATATTCACAGATTTAGGATTAAACTTGTTCTGCAATGGGGTTTTGTGCACAGATAAATGCAATGCTTAACTCCTGCACCTCTGCAAGGAAAGCCAACACAACATGTGAATGGTGAACTGAAAATTGAAGTAATTAAACTTTAAGATTCCTGCAATATGGGACACCTATAGGATGAAATAAAGTGAAGGATTAATGCTTTTCTTTTACAAATAAACCCAAGGTGAAGCTGTGAACCAAAAATCTTTGTTGGTGGTGTTGCTCAACAGACTCATGCCTTCTATGAAATTGTTGAATAGCTGACGTTGTCTGCTGCCACTTTCACATGTATTTCATGGTATGTTTGTAATTATGGAGTCAATCCATTAATGGGTCTGCGAATTACTACAGCTTGTTTCTAGAATGATCTTGAACATCTGTATCAAAATATGCAGCTATGAATTAAAGACACTTCCGAAAAACAGAACTATAGAGGTTCGAACTATGATTCTCATCTTCTGGAAACAAGATGGCAATTTATGAAGGAAACTCTTTCCCCTTTTTGAAGCCAAGTTTGCGGCAACCGCCACATCTTTTGGAGACATGTCATGATGGCTATATGCTGCCTCTCAAATAAGAGAGTCCCACGATTGGAATGTAATAATGGAGGGATACAATCTATTTCAGAGAAACAGACCAGACAAGAAAGGAGGAGGAGTGGTGCTATATGTCAGGGATGTGTATACCTGTGAAGAGATCCAAGATTTAGAACCTCAAAGCCAAAGTGAGAGCATTTGGGTCAAAATTAAGGGAGAGAAGAATAACAGTGACCTCATTGTGGGAGTTTACTATAGATCCCCAAGCCAAACGGAGGACATAGATGATGCCTTCCTGGAACAGATGGCCAAGCATGCAAAAAGAAGGGAGATAGTAGTAATGGGGGACTTCAATTACCCAGATATTTGCTGGATGTCAAACTCGGCCAAGAGCATAAGGTCAAACAGATTCCTCACTGGCCTTGCAGACAACTTCATTGTCCAGAAAGTGGGAGAAGCAACAAGAGGAACAGCCATTTTAGATCTGGTCCTAACCAATGTGGATGACCTGGTTAGTGGGGTAGAAGTGGAAGGATCATTAGGCGCGAGTGATCATGCTCTTCTGAAGTTTACTATACAGCGGAAAGGAGCAGCCAAGCATACTAGGACTCAATTTCTTGACTTTAAGAAAGCCGACTTCATAAAACTTAGGGAAGTGCTGGGTGAGATCCCATGGACAGTAATACTAAAAGGAAAGGAGTTCATGATGGTTGGGAGTTTGTTAAGAGGAGATACTAAAAGCACAACGTCAGGCAATACCAATGAGATGGAAACATGGAAGGTGCCTAAAGAAGCCAGGGTGGCTATCTAAAGAACTTTTAACTGAGTTAAGATTAAAAAAGGATGTGTACAAAAAATGGAAAAGGGGGGAAACCACCAAGAGGAATTCAAACAAATAGCCAGCACGTGTAGACACAAAGTCAGAAAAGCTAAAGCACAGAATGAACTCAGGCTTGCTAGAGAGGTTAAAAGCAACAAAAAAGGCTTTTATGGGTATGTTCAGTAGCAAAAGGAAGAACAAAGAAACAGTGGGGTCACTCAGAGGAGAAGATGGTGAAATGCAAACAGGGGACACAGAAAGGGCTGAACTCCTCAATGCCTTCTTTGCCTCAGTCTTCTCCGATAAAGAAAACAATGCCCGACCTGAAGAATTTGGAGCAAATGATTCAGCAGAGGAAACACAGCCCAGAATAACTAAGGAGATAGTACAAGAATACTTGGCTAGTTTAGATGTATTCAAGTCTCCAGGGCCAGATGAACTGCATCCAAGACTATTAAAAGAACTGGCAGATGTGATCTCAGAACCACTGGCAGTCATCTTTGAGAATTCCTGGAGAACAGGCGAAGTCCCGGCAGACTGGAGGAGGGCAAATGTTGTCCCTATTTTCAAAAAGGGGAAAAGAGAGGACCCAAATAATTACCGCCCAGTCAGTCTGACATCAATACCAGGGAAGATTCTGGAGCAGATCATTAAGCAAACAGTCTGTGAGCACCTAGAAAGGAATGGTGTGATCACCAATAGTCAGCATGGATTTCTGAAAAATAAGTCATGTCAGACTAACCTGATTTCGTTTTTTGACAGAATTACAAGCCTGGTAGATGAAGGGAATGCAGTGGTTGTAGCCTACCTTGATTTCAGCAAGGCATTTGACAAGGTGCCCCATGATATTCTTGTAAAGAAGCTGGTAAAATGCGGTCTTGACTATGCTACCACTCAGTGGATTTGTAACTGGCTGACTGGCCGAACCCAAAGGGTGCTCATCAATGGTTCCTCTTCATCCTGGAGAAGAGTGACTAGTGGGGTGCCACAGGGTTCTGTCTTGGGCCCGGTCTTATTCAACATCTTTATCAACGACTTGGATGATGGACTCAAGGGCATCCTGATCAAATTTGCAGATGACACCAAACTGGGAGGGTGGCTAACACCCCAGAGGACAGGATCACACTTCAAAACGACCTTGACAGATTAGAGAACTGGGCCAAAACAAACAAGATGAATTTTAACAGGGAGAAATGTAAAAGTAGTGCTCTTGGGCTAAATAAATGAGAGGCACAAATACAAGATGGGGGACACCTGGCTTGAGAGCAGTATATGTGAAAAGGATCTAGGAGTCTTGGTGGACCACAAACTTGACATGAGCCAACAGTGTGACGCGGCAGCTAAAAAAGCCAATGCAATTCTGGGCTGCATCAATAGGAGTATAGCATCTAGATCAAGGGAAGTAATAGTGCCACTGTATTCTGCTCTGGTCAGACCTCACCTGGAGTACTGTGTCCAGTTCTGGGCACCACAGTTCAAGAAGGACATTGACAAACTGGAACGTGTCCAGAGGAGGGCAACCAAAATGGTCAAAGGCCTGGAAACGATGCCTTATGAGGAGCGGCTAAGAGAGCTGGGCATGTTTAGCCTGGAGAAGAGGAGGTTAAGGGGTGATATGATAGCCATGTTCAAATATATCAAAGGATGTCACATAGAGGAGGGAGAAAGGTTGTTTTCTGCTGCTCCAGAGAAGCGGACACGGAGCAATGGATCCAAACTACAAGAAAGAAGATTCCACCTAAACATTAGGAAGAACTTCCTGACAGTAAGAGCTGTTCGACAGTGGAATTTGCTGCCAAGGAGTGTGGTGGCGTCTCCTTCTTTGGAGGTCTTTAAGCAGAGGCTTGACAACCATATGTCAGGAGTGCTCTGATGGTGTTTCCTGCTTGGCAGGGGGTTGGACTCGATGGCCCTTGTGGTCTCTTCCAGCTCTATGATTCTATGAATTTGTTCTGCCCGATGCACAAAGTTATGCACAATTACTTAAATTAATAATTAAATTTAACACAGTGGGACTTGTGAATACACACTCATACAACTGGGCTGCATAGGAAAGTTTATAATGAGCACACATTCAGTTACTGTAAGATTGTTCAGTTTTGGGTAGGAAAGGGTACCTCTGGGCTCTCAAGAGAAGGCTGCACTGGGCTAAATTGCAGTTGAAACAGATTTTGGGGTGGGGGAGGGAAATACAGTTACAATGGATAACTCAAAGTTGCTCCTTGAGCGAAGACGAAATTCCAGCACTAGATGGTGACTTTCATCTGTGAAACAGTAACCACAAAGATTTCATATAAAACATGTATAACTCAGTGTCTACACTAACAGTGGTTCTTCAGGGTTTCAGATGGGACATTCACAACTATCTGGAGATACCCAGGGAATAAACTTGGGACCTTCTGTAGGCAAAACAATTGCTCAGCCACTGAATTACGGTGCTTACCTTTGTGGTCCTTTGTGAGCTGAACGCTGATGTGTTAAGCATGTTTGAATCGGCCTTATTCTGTTTGGAGTGGGCTGGCAGTGTAAAAGAACTTAGTGCATTCCTCTGTGCTTTTGCCAACCCATATTGATGGAGCAGCCATGACACATGACATGGTTGCTGTCCCCTGCCTTCTCATGGCTGAATTTTTAAATGGGCGTAAGTGGAATACAAATTGCTGTAACAAATAAATAAATGTATGCCTGTTTGAGCTTCAGGAAAGAGATGGGAAACAAATGTCATAATAAGGGTACAGGAGGAGCCCTCTCAGCATCTAGACCTGGCAAGCCTAGACGTTGCGAGTGGTAAATAAAGGGGTGGAGTCTCCCTTTCAAATACAGTACATAGGTTAAAGGGGGAAATCGAATCTGCATAAATGAATAAGGGGGTGTCGTTCATTTTCGTATTCCCTAGTTCTTAAGTAGAAAGCCCCTATTTATTTTAAACAGTCCAGGGGGGAATTAAGATGCGCTACGTGGAGAGGCAGCCGCTTTGCCTGGCAGAGCTTCGTGAGCTGCTGCCCTCTCCACCCCGAAAACTTCACATCGGGAAAAGCTTTCCCCGTCCAATTTCTGACTGTCGTGCAATTGCTAAAACCACGGGTCCCTTACCCGGGGGAGGCGCGGCAGCCGAATCCTAGGCATGCTTACTTGAAACTTACTCCAAAGTAAGCAGCATAAAACCGCGCTCCTCTTTGGAGATCGATAAAGGGGTTGCGTTTTTGTTTTGTTTCTCAAATGCGCAAGAGCAGTGCCGCAGTTCCCTGCGCCTTTGACCAGCAAAGCAAAAACTATCCCCCTAGCCATTCATAGGTAAAGGCAGAAGCCTCTCGATCCAGCCGCGCAGAATACGCTTCGCGCGAGAGGCTGGGCCTGAGCAGAGAAGGGAAGTGGGCTCCGCTCGTGCGCCGCCGAAGCTTTTCCGGAGCAGACGCTTTCCGGCGTTGCGCGCTGAGCCTCATGGATTTGAACTGGCAGTTCTGGAGAAGCGAGGGCCAAGTATGACTTTGAAGCGCAGGGGTTATGGGGCGGCGGCGGGGGGTTGCTGCAGATCGCGGCGAGTAGAAGGTCGGAGGGAAGCATGTGGTGGAAGGGAGGAGGGCGGACTGTGCAAAGGGCAGGGAGGACTGAATGGCGTTTGCAAGCGGGCGGCGGCGATCGCCCATCGCTCCTCCCTTTGCATTGATTTGCCGACACTTCTGCCTCATGCGATCCTATGCATGTCTCAACCACGCACGTCTGTTCAGAGGGGAGCCTTGCATCGTTCAGAGAGAGCCTTGCTCCCATTGCGTGCAGGAGATTGTGAAACCCGAATTTCTGTGGCCCGGTCCGAATTGTAGTGAAAGGCTGCCAACTGTAAATTGACAAAGCGGCGTGTGTGTACTACAATCGTATTCGTAACAATTATCCCTCGAACCCAGCTCCCAAAGAAATATCTTAAACTGCTTGCAAAAGTGCAGTCCAATACATGCCCACTCAAAAGTATGTGGCGCTGTGGGTTAAACCACAGAGCCTAGGACTTGCCGATCAGAAGGTCGGCGGTTTGAATCCCTGCGATGGGGTGACCGCCTGTTGCTCGGCCCCTGCTCCTGCCAACCTAGCAGTTTGAAAGCACGTCACGGTGCAAGTAGATAAATAGGTACAGCTCCGGTGGGAAGGTAAATGGCGTTTCTGTGCGCTGCTCTGGTTCGCCAGAAGCGGCTTAGTCATGCTGGCCACATGACCACATGTATGCCGGCTCCCTCGGCCAATAAAGCGAGATGAGCGCTGCAACCCCAGAGTTGGTCACGACTGGACCTAATGGTCGGGGTCCCTTTACCTTTACCTTACTCGCTGTGTCCTGCTGATACCTGTTCTGGGATACTCCAGAAAGCAGAAACTAGGTTAGTAGTTTGTTGAATGTGAATATTCTCAAGTGCAGTTAACAGTTCACATGTTGGGGTTGTTGGAAAATCTGTTGTAACATCTTAAAATGTATTGACCAGTTCACTTAGCTGCCAAGGAGATAAAGGTAAAGGTAAAGGGACCCCTGACCATTAGGTCCAGTCGTGGCCGACTCTGGGGTTGCGGCGCTCATCTCGCTTTATTGGCCGAGGGAGCCGGCCTACAGCTTCCGGGTCATGTGGCCAGGTTGATTTGGGGGAAATATGTTAATTCACAGCTTGGGTTCATGGCTTGGGAGACATGGATTTTTATTTGGGTGCACATTTAAAAAACAAAACTCCAGTGTGTACTAATAGTTGTGAATGGTGCTTTGTACGACACAGTCCCATGTATTCCTCCCCAACTGTATTCAGTGTAGTTTTTTACTAGGTAAGTGTGTGGCCAACAGTGCACACGAAAGCTTGTACCCAGAACAAACTTAGTTGGTCTCTAAGGTGCTACTGGACAATTTTTAATTTTTAATTTTTATTTTTGTGTTGCTTTAGCACAATAAAGAGACAGAGGGCAGTTTAGGAAGGTGAAATAAAAGAAGTGTTTAAGATGCAAATAGAATTAGGTATCGGGCACAGATTATTGGCTACCTATGCTTGGTTTAGGAATAACGGCTTCACAAAATACCTGAATACTCAAAAAGCATATCTCTTTCTTTAGACCTTTTTTCAAAGGTTTCTTCATTGGGTAGATATTTTGGACCCTACGCTCCTGTTTATACCAAATGTAAGTAGCTTATCTATTTAATTTTTGTACCTTGACATTGATAAAGAGCTAATGCTAGATCAACCATGTTTCTCAGTCTGCATTTTGAATGTCACGCCAGGCTAGAAATGTGAAGGCTGGTTTTCTTCTGCTTCACCCCCCCTTCAGTTTCCCCCCCAACTGGTTTCCCCCCAATTGTTTCTCTTCCACCTCCGCTCCGGGCTGCCACATCTCTTTGCAGGGCACACCTATGCATGTTTACTCCCAAGTGTGCCCTACTGATTATTATTTCCATTGATTTAAGTGGAACTTTCTTTCTAGTAAGCATGCATAGGAGTCCCAACTTTAAATTCTCAGCCTCTAAAAATGGATCTGCAATTACTGTATTTTTCACTCTATAACACGCACCCGACCATAACACGCACATAGTTTTTAGAGGAGGAAAACAAGAAAAAAATATTCTAAATGAAACAGTGGATGTATGATTTTTGTGGTTCATGCTGTGGCCACAGACATGTGATCTGACGGTGAGTTTGAGGTAGCCCAATGCAAAAATCCTGAGGATCCATGTGGATCCATGCTTTGTAACCATGTTTTAAGTGGGGAGGGAAGGAAAAGCACTCAAGGGCCAAGGAACACGTGTGGGGTGGGTGGAGAAGGATGCTGTTAATAATGCAGAAGAGAGGTATAAGAGGAGAAGCAAGCAGGCTCTGCTTCTCTCCCTCCTCCCCGCTCGCTGAAAAACTTTGCTGCTATTTAGCCAGCTGAGTGGGGAGGAGAGAGGGACAGAGAGCCTGCTTGCTTTAAAGGAGCCAACCGGACAGGAGCCACTTACACTCGTGTAAGAGGCTCCTCTCCTCTCCCGCTTTGCTCCTTTAAAGCAAGCAGGCTCTCTGTCCCTCTGTCCTCCCCACTCAGCAGCTCTTCTCCCGCTTTGCTGTTTCAAAGCGAGCCACGGAGGAGGGAAGGAAGGGGAACCATGGATCATCTGCTCACGACTGCAGCAGATTCCCCCCGCCATCCGTAGGCATTCGCTCCATAACACGCACAGACATTTCCCCTTACTTTCTAGGAGGAAAAAAGTGAGTGTTATGGTGCAAAAAATACGGTACCTGTTTTGTGTGTGGAGCTTATATAATTATTCCACACACACACACACAGGGATGGGTTATATGTGATGTGGAAGATTTGTGATCTGATCTCCTGACATCTGATTTCCCCACGAGGATATGGAGGGCTGTCAGTGCTGATCAGAGCAGCGGCTCTGGGACAAAAAAGGGGGGTTAACCCTGTCACCATGAGCTGCTGTTCTCCTGATCTAAATGAGAGGCAGCTGCTTTGAACCCAACCCTCTCTGCCAAAAGTACAGTTCGAATACAGGTAGATGATGAAGCAGGGTTAGAAACTATGTGCGTGACCCTACCTCTCTGCTTTTCCTTGTAAAACAGAAGGAAATCCTCATATCCAGAACCCTTTTGCCAACTAGTAAAGAAAACATCGCAGAGTCCTTGCAGGACAAAAAGGTATCTGACCTTCTTCTTCCACTAACAACATTATGTATACAGTATATTGTAATTAATTACCATTTGCGGTATGCAAAGTGACAGGGCGACAGGAAGATTTTTCACCCATCACATATATCTTCCCAACACCTGTGTGAGAGGTGGGGGTGGTGGGTAACTGGGGATGCAGTGTGGCCCAAATGTCTTCATTTTGCACTAGGGGCTGACTCTTGTTTTCTGGGTAAGGAAGGACTGCTCCTGTAGATAGTGTGTTTCAGTACTTTACAACAGGAGGGAATTTCAGGGCCAGTTAAGATGTGTGTAAATTGCCAAGTGCCGTGTGCGACCTGATCATCCCTGGAATCACAGCTAGAGAGAGTAGATAGCACCTCACTTTTGTCAGGGAACCGACAAAAGGCTAGAAGCCTTTCAGTGGAATGTCTGCTCCTTGTTCAAAATAGTTTTGAGTATATTACAGCATCCTTGGAAAGTCTGTCTTCCACGTTCCTGATGGTTTCTACAGGATCTAGCTGAGAGGTCTTCCAGAGGTTGCTTGGGCAAAAAATTTATTGGTTAAATCTCTACTGCTGTGGTAAAGTGCTGGAAGCATACTCCTGAAAACTCAAAACATAATGTGCGGGTGGGACAGGGACATGATATGCAACAAAACTTACTCTAAATGATTTTTTAAAAACCCCTTTGTTTTAATGCTTAGATAAGAGACGCCTGGAAGCTAAGTTTGGTGAGTTTTTACAACATGTCTAGGTATTCTTTTAGCTGATATTTTAAAAAACATATCCTAATTCTTTGTTTGCTTTTCTCCATGAAGGCCTCTGTACATCCTTGCACTGGTGAAACAATTCCTTTCTTACTTAGGCCTCCAGGTCAGTTTCCATACATAGTTTTTACTAAAAGCTGTTTATATGCTTATACAACATTTGTGGCTTGTTATCCTGAGTAATATAAATACTGTTCAACTTACTAACAAATTGTATCGGTGGAACTTCTGCTAGTTGCTTCATAAATGCCTTTATTACCGCTGCTGGGATCGTAGGCAACATGCAACCTGTAATCATTTTTGTGCAGTTGATGGATATGTGTTAGATATGGAGACCTCAGTTTTCATTTAAATGTACTTGCCTTCTAGTCACTTGCAAGGTGCTGGTTCCAAGAAATGTGTGGAAAGTTCATTGCATTTCCCCTCACATAAACAATTGGTTCATAAGGTGTCATTGTTTTTGCATTTTTCGCTCTAATAACTGACTTCCTTTTCTTATCGTGCTCCCTTTATTCCATAAATGACTCCACTGATCTCATAAATAGTCCCCAAAGAATCCTAGGAACAGTAATTTAAGGGTGCTGAGAGTTGTTAGGAGCCCCTATCCCCTCACAGAATTTACAGTTACCGTAGTTCACTGGGGAGAGGCATTGACAGTTAAACCACTCTGTGAATTGTAGTTCTGTGAGGGGGATTGGGAGGGGGGGAGTCTTCTAACCACTCTTCATCCTTAACAAACTACAGCTCCCAGGATTCTTTGAGGGAAGCCATGACTTTCTAAAGTGGTATGATACTGCTTTAAATGTATAGGGACCTCAGTTAGACCACTGAGACAACCTACATAACAGTTGATTTTGCTGAATTTAAAAAAAAATTCCTCTCTCTCTCTCTCTCTCTCTCTCTCTCAGCTTTCCTGCCTATTTATGCTCCACTGGTGAGTAATGATAGTCATTTCCAGAGTGTCTGTGAGCTGCAAATGTGCCAGTTTCCCCTTGCTGTAGTCCAGAATCTCACAGATTGAGTGGATTCCCCATTAAAAGAGCTACTGAAGGAGAAGTCTGGTTCGCTGCCTTCCCCGCAAAGGCAGGACTCTTCAGCCACCAGTCGCTTGCTTCACCCAAATTAACTGTTTAACTTGTGTAGTCTATGGTTATGATGTGCTACAAATCATTGTGTGTGTGTGTGTGTATGTGTGAGGGTGTGTGTGTGTCATTTAAAGGAAAACAATTTTCGTTCCTGCAAGAGGTAGTGATGGTCACCAGCTACAATGGCTTTAAAAGAGGATTGGACAAATTCAGGGAGATTAAGGGTGTCATTGGCTGCTACCCGCAGTGGCTAAGCTCTAACTCTAGAGTCAGAGTTAGCCTGCTTCTGAATACTACGTAGGAGAGGAGGTCGTTATTGCTGGTCAGATCCTGCTTGCAGGCTTCTCATTGGCCACCATGAGAACAGGATGCTAGGTAGGCCACTGGCTTGGTTAAGCAGGGGCATTCTAACGTTATGTCAGTGGAACATACCTGCACTAGTGAAAGGAGCTATCGACTCAGCAACTGCAGTTGCACTTGTTTTGACATGTCAGTCTGGATAGCTCAGTTGGTTAGAGCGTAGCGCTGAGAACACCCAAGATTGCAGGTTCAATCCCAGTATAGGATGGCTGCATATTCCTGCATTGCAGGGAGTTGGATTAGATCAGGCATAGGCAATCTTTGGCCCTCCAGATGTTTTTGGGACTACAACTCCCATCATCCCTGACCACTGGTCCTGTTAGCTAGGGATGATGGGAGTTGTAGTCCCAAAACATCTGGAGGGCCGAGGTTCCCTTTGCCTGGATTAGATGATCCTCAGGGTCACTTCCATCTCTACGGTTCTATGATCCAGGGCCTATAAAGACTTGGAATATATTCACACACACACATGTGCACTAATAGTGAACTCACAGTTGGAATGCCTATCCTTTTGTTCCTGAAACAAGCACCACCCACAAACGACGGGCTCGTGTCAACAGGCTCGGGGAAAGCGGGTTTTTTTGGAAGTACAGAAAACTTTATGGAAAAAGAGGAACATGGGGTGGGAGAGAATGCAAACAGCCCAACGAGGACTGAGCATAATCAGAGGGCACTGATTGCTGTTGTGGGGAGGAGGAAGTGGGAAGCTTAGAGAAAGGGAATTGTAATGAAGTATCCTGGAAGGGGGTGTGGCTGATAGGTTGGGGCACTGAGCAGAAGCACACTGCACAACAGCATTGTAGCTCCAAACAGCATGTGGACTTATGATGTGTTTTATGGCAAAACTTCCACTAGGCACCCTTTATTTCTGAATATTGCAGTAGATGGAGAGAGGTTTTGTGTGGAGTGCATTCCATGGAAATGCATCCCTTGCGTACGTACTGTAAGCACGTTGAATTTGGTAAGCATACATGAACCTTGTATGTAAATTGTCACACAAGAGGATTCCTGTATATGCTGAATTTATGCAGCTTTGTGTATATAGGGCTTTTGTAATGTGTGAATGACCATAATTGAAGCCTAGCTACATTATGCTGTATGGTGTGGCTGCTATACTATTCAGGCAGTGTTCGACAGCCATGGGTGATGTGGGCCTCAGGGTGAGAAGAATGCTAGCAGAAGAAGTGTGTTGTTAGCTCCCCACCCTATCAATGTTATCTTAAGTCCTTCAGATGTTGCTGATGTGGCCTGGGCGCAACCACATTTCTGTAGCTCCCATATTGCCGCTGATAACATTGGAGCTGGGAGAGATATTGGCCAGTGTGTATTGCTTCTGGATCAGTCTCTTTAAATAAGGAGTGGGAAACCTGTGGCCTTCCAGATGTTAGTTTATTTGCAGAAATTGTATACCATCAAGATTAAGGAGGAGGGAAGAGGCTGTGAAGAGCATGAAGCCAAAAATAAAATTGCATTGTTTAAAATACAAGATGCATCACAAATCAGAAGATCAGCTTAATTCCACCAACAGAGCTGGAGGACCCCTCAAGGAAAGGCTGGCTGACTCCGCATTGTTGGACTCTCATCTCCCATCAACATTATGGGAGTTATAGTCCAGCAACATCTGGCAGGACCACAGGTTCCTCATCCCTGCTTTAGGTTAAGAGTGGCTAACCTGTGGTCCTCCAGATGTTAGACTTCAACGTCTCCCATTAGCTCTAGCCAGCAGGGCTAATGAGGATGATGGGAGTTAGTCAGGCAACATCTGCTGAGGGTGGGAAGCTGCTTAGGTGCGACAGCAAAACATAAAATTATCACCTGCTATCCAAATTGTTGTTGCTGAAGTGTGTCCTTGTGAGATTGTCAATACTTATCCCCCTTCATGACATTTTATTCACAGGTCGTCGTTACTTTATTACCACACAGAAAAACATCGTCAGCTTTTATTTGCCAGGTAACGAGCAATCAATTTTCTGTTAATTTGTCATATATTTATTAGTGGATGTATTAACTAACGTTGAGGTTGCGTCCTTGTCGTCTTGTATGTTGCAGTTCCTTTTCCATTACTATATCGCTGGAGTCAGCTTGGCAAATGGGAATGCTCCAAAACAAGACGAGAAGAAAACTACAGAAATGGTAAAACATAGCTATGTATTTTTAAAAGGCCGTATGAGGTGAATTGTGCCAGCATTGTGGATAATGAATTTCCTCTGATTGTGCGTTTGTTTTTTATAGGTGTTTTCACGAAAGCAATTACTTCTCTCCTTTGGGGTAATCACGTATGCCTCCTGCATGGGAGTACGTATTACCAAATTTTATACCACATTCCCTTCTGGGGGGGGGGCATTTGCCTTTTTACAGTAGACTGCTTTCTGCACACACTTGCACCCCCCATCTTTCCTCCATTGAAGCAAGCAAAAGAAGCGTTATCACATTCCAGCCAGGCAAAAACATCTGAGGGTCTCAGAGCTGGTAAGGGGTTTGGTCTAGAGAGAGCAGGTGTGTCTGGGGGTGGTGTATGGCCTGGGAAGGCTGCCTTTGCCTCACATTTGCCCTTTGATGGGCAAAAGGTTCCTGCATTGTAAGCGATTGGACTAGGTGGCCCTTGTGGTCCCTTCTAACTCTACGACTCCCTCTCATGTTTTGAATCTGACTTGCTGCTATACAGCAGGAAATGCAAGGCCAGATCCACACCACACATTAAAGCACCACAATATCACTTTAAACGGTCATGGCTTCCCCCAAAGAATTCTGGGAGCTGTGATTTGCTAAGGGTGCTGAGAGTTGCTAGAAAACTTCTAGTCCCTGCCCCACCCCCCACTTCAAGCTACAATTCCCAGAGTGGTTTAACAGTCAATCCTTCTTCACAGAGAAGGATGTGGTATTAATCTAGGACCTTGGAGACCAGAGTTCAAATCTCCACTCAGCCATGAAGCGCACTGTGTGACCATGGGCCAGTCACAGTCTCTCTGCCTAAACTCCCTTGCAGGAAAGGTGGGATATATATGTTGTAATAAATAAAAGAATACAGCCTTTTGTCTCTAGGCTCTTCCTCACTACTTTGTAACTCGTTATAATCTGAGTCCTTCCGGGCAGCGCGTCTTCAGGAACTTCATGCCTGGCCCACTTACAGGTAAGAAAACAAGAAAATCATTCAAGAACCTTTCAGATGGAAAGCTGTTCTTTCAAACTCTCCATGGTTAAGACTGGGAATGGGCACTTGCTTGACTTGATGGTTTTACTTGCCTCCAAACAGGATAAAGCAGGCACGTCCAACAGGTAGATTGTGATCTACCAGTAGATCACTGGACGTCAGTGGTAGATCACTGGCTTCCCCCACAGAAGCTCAACAACTTTGAGCTGAACCCCCCAAAAACAGGGGTAGATCACTGCCAGATTTTAATTCAGAAAGTAGATCTCAGCCTCATGGGAGTTGGCCACCCCTGGGATAAAGGATCTAAACCAGGGGTAGGCAACCTAAGGCCCGGGGGCCGGATGTGGCCCATTCACCTTCTCAATCTGGCCCACGGATGGTCTGGGAATCAGCATGTAAGTAGAATGTGTCCTTTTATTTAAAATGCATCTCTGGGTTATTTGTGGGGCATAGAAATTCGTTCATTCCCCCCCCTCCCAAATATAGACTGGCCCCCCACAAGTCTGAGGGACGGTGGACCAGCCCACAGCTGAAAAAAGGTTGCTGACCCCTGATCTAAACCATTCACTCCGCTTTGTCGTGGGCCTGAGTGGTTGGATGGCAAGCAGGAGTGGTGGCAGTTTACTACCTTGCAGCGCAGGGGTTTGGTTGGAAACTGGTCCCTGTCCCCTTGAGCTGGTGGCAGCATTGGGATATTAAATGTTCCAGGAAGTGTGCTGCAGATGAGTAACCATAAATTTTCAAGTTTCCCAGACATGGAAAGCCTGCACATGGTTGTCCTGCCTTGATAATGGACTGGATGAGAGCCAAAAAAACTGAGGCTCAATCCTGACAAGACTGAGGCACTGTTAGTGGGCAGTTCCCTATACTGGATGGGTGGGAGGTTGTCTGCTCTTCATGGGGTTACACTCCCTCTGAAGGAGCAGGTACATGGCTTGGGGGTACGCCTGGGTTCTTTGCTGTCTCTTGAGGCTCAGGTGGCCTCATGTTTTAAGGATACAGTCGTACGTTGGATCCCGAATGCCTTGTGAGTCAAACGTTTTGGCTCCCAAACGATCAAAATCCGGAAGTGAGTGCGACCGTTCTTTGGAACCCGAATGTCCGATGTGACTTCTGTGGCTTCTGATGGGCTGCAGGAGCTTCCTGCAGCCCATTTGAAGCCATGCCTTGGTTTTCGAACGTTTTGGAAGTCGAATGGACTTCCGGAATGAATTCCGTTCAACTTCTGAGGTACCACTGTATTGCCATCAAGCCTGAAAGTAATCCTTTGGGAAGTCTAGCTTCTTGTGAGATAAATGGACTTGGCAACAGTACTCAGAATTGCCTGAATATGCGATACAACGTGCATTCAGTGTGAACGTAAAAATCACCAGTGACCTACTTTTTGACAAATGTTTGCGTTCCTTTTCTTTTGCAGCCCTCTTGTGTGCGTTGAATGTGATGGTAACTAGAAGCAGTGAGTATGAGAATGGGATTGAGGTCATGGACAGCCAAGGCCAGGTCATTGGGATGTCTCAAAAAGCTGGAGAAAAAGTAAGTAAAGCAACAGGTATTTTCGTTATCCCCCTTCTCAACCTCTCGTGGGGTGGGAAGCAATGTCCCCAAATCTGGCACCTGTGCTCATCAGCTGCCCCTGACCACTTTGACATAAAAGAGCCTGAACTGACTCAATCTTTCCTTCTCCTTCTCCTGTCTGGTAACACTTAGGGATTCCTCCTTGATTCCCCACCACCAATGCCTCCTGTGGCTGTCTGCTCAATTTTCTCATATTTCATCCATTTCTCCAGCTGCCTTTTTCAGAGAGGTGCGTTCAGTATGCATCCCCAGTGGGGACAAAATCTTGTTTGTCTCTTTCTCTGTGGGACACCTGGGATGTGGCTATTTGTGGTAGAACCAAGAAGGACTTGGCTGCTTGCTCCATAGATAGTCATCTATGCTGCTGGCAAGACTGGCCTTGGAGATGGCTTGGTGGTAGAGCATCTGCTTTGCATGTAGAAGGTCCCCGGTTCAATCCCCAGTGTCTCCTGGTAGGGCTAGGGGAGACCCCTGTCTGAAATGCTGGAGAGCAACTGCCTGTCCAGACAAGGCAGTACTGAGCTAATGTCCCATATTGTGACTTTTCCATAGCCCAGTAATCCTCTACCCCACCAAACGTTCATGACATGTTGTTCATGTAATGGAAACCCCTAGCTGCAATGGGGAAACAGATGCTTTAGATCCCAACTCCATCAGCCCCAGTCAGTATAGCCAATAATCACGGTCGATGAGGGTCGTAATCCATCTGGAGGGCTGCAAGTCCCCCAATCCTGACAAGGTTTTCCATATTCTGGTGCACCTCACTGTGACAAGAGAAGCTAAGGAGCATAGCTGTCAACTTTTCCCTTTTCTTGCGAGGAATCCTAATTGGAATAAGGGAATTTCCCTTAAAAAAAGGAAAAAGTTGACGGCTATGCTAAGGGGGTGACTTAGCAGATGGCGTTGTGGTCTAAACCACTGAGCCTCTTGCACTTGCCGATCAGAAGGTCTGTGCTTCGAATCCCTGTTTTGGGGTGAGCTCCCGTTGCTCGGTCCCAGCTCCTGCCAACCTAGCAGTTTGAAATCACACCAGTGCAAGTAGATAAATAGGTACCGCTGCAGCAGGAAGGTAAACAGTGTTTCCGTGCGCTCTGGTTTCTGTCACGGTGTTCTGTTGCACTAGTAGTGATTTAGTCATGCTGGCCACATGACCCAGAAAGCTGTCTGTGGACAAACGCAGGCTCCCTCGGCCTGAAAGCGAGATGAGCGCTGCAACCCCATAGTCACCGTTGACTGGACTTAACTGTCCAGGGGTCCTTTACCTTTTACCTTAGCGGATCTGCATTTAGGATAAATTTAGTAAAGTAATGAGAGAGAGAATTCAAGTAAATTCTGCCACCTTAACTCACTTCGTTGACTTCTGTTTTCTCTCCTGTTTTTCCTCCCGCCCCCCATTGTGCCACTTTGAGCCTCTTTTTAAACAAATGTACCTTCCTAATATTTTTGTGTGATATAAAAAAGCAGGATTGTTAGACAGATTGCAGCATAAGTACACAAATCTCTATTGTGACATTTACTTTCCTCTGTGTATGTGTTTTCTCACTCTCCCTAGGCTGTGGAGCAAACAGCGCTAACCCGAGCAGTAATGTTTGGTACAGCAATGTTTTTTCCAGAGGTTGCTCTGCAGCTATTAAAGCGGTAAGGCGTCTTCAGCGTAGGTCCCTTAAACAAAACTCCCATTACCTTGCTACTGGGGTGGTCCGCAGCTATTCTTATTTCTGCCTCTTGCAAGTTTCTTCACATTTCTTGGATCAGAGAGAATGTGGCGTCATTCTCGAACATGAGTCCTGCCCCGACCTGTCGCCCTCCAGATATTGTCTTCCCCATCATCCCTAGACATCATGACCAGAGGTCAGGGATGATGGGAGTTGTAGACCAGCAACACCTGGAGGGCCACAGATTTGGAGACAGAAGCAAGCCACTGACTTTTAGAAGTCTCTGCATCTTCTCACAGCAGTAGGCTAACCTTAGGGATTTTCTCACGTTCTGCAAAAGGTATCGTGGGTCTCTAACCTGAACACTTTTACCTTGAGCATTACCCTGGGAATGTAAACTCACAGGTGGGAAAACTCACAGTGGGAAAAGTATGAGACAATAGGACACTTTGTACTTTGACCCAGGAGAAAGACCGAAATGTTTCCTTCAACTTAAATGCCTTGAAGGATGAGACAACTGTCCCTACAGTGTTGGATCAGCAGCAGCTCATAGCTGTCTTCCTGAGCTATTCTTCCAAATGTCTTCCAGCACTCCTGCTCCTCAGATAGCTCAGTTGGTAGAGCATGAGACTCTTAATCACAGGGTTGTGGGTTTGAGCCCCACTTTGAGTGAAAGATTCCTGCATTGCAGGGAGTTGAACTAGATGATAATTCGTGTTCCCTTCCAACTCTACAAATCTGTGATTGCATACAAGAGAGCTTGTGACTGGTTATACAGATGCCTATACAGTACCATGCTATATAATAATCTACCCATGCCATCTCTTTTGCAGCACAAGCAGTTTACTTCGAAAGCCATTTGTTTTGAATCCGCTGAGATATGTTTTGACAGTTGCAGTCCTTGGAGGAATGGTACCCGTTTCGCTCAGTTGGATGCCACCGATTGGCAAGGTAGTTCTTGCGTTCTGTCCTCCTTGCAAATCTCTGCTGGTGGTCTTAAGGGCAAAAAGCATTGAAAGAATCAGAAAGGCAGAAATCTACTCAAGCTGGGTTTGCATGTGGCTCCTTGGAATTTTCCTTGTAGCAGCTCCCAGTGTCCCTAGAACGGCTGTGTTTTAAATATGAGTTGCTATGGGGAAAAGAGAGAAGAAAACCTGGAATGGAGCACAGCGCCTGGTATGATGACTAAGTTTTCAAATACTTCCACATAAAAGGTGCAGATTTGGCATAGGGGGTGTTGTGTCTCCTGAAAGTCAGATACCTTAAAAAGGGGGGAGGGACCTTTGAAATAAACATTTTGTGAATCTACGTTTGGTCTCATTGAGGGGCAGTATTTCAATATGAGTAGGAAAATGAGAGTACCCCTAAACCTTTAGAAAAAAGCACTGCAAAGCACTATTATATCACTTTAAACAGTCCCCAAAGAATCGGGGAGTTTGTTAAATGGAGTGGAATCCCTAAATCATTTGGATGGTGTCTTGCACCCCTCCTTCTGGCAACTCCTGCACTCAAGCTGGTGCCAAATGTATTGCTCTGCTTTCCTTTGGACCACTTCAGCGAAGCCAAGATGGGGGACATATCGTCTGGGCAGCTCAGGACCTCCATAGGCACTGTGCAGGCTTGCTCCCCAGCGACCTCACTTTGGTATTGCTAATGAAGCAAAAACAACATGGGAGGACAACAGTTAAGAGTTTCTGGTCTTTGCAGCCACAGCAGGTGCTGTGATTCCTCACCTGTTTGACTTCACCCTCAGAGGCACACTCCATTGCCTCCTGAGACAGACAGATGCCAACAACAATAACAGGTTTGTTAAGGGTGCTGAGAGTTGTTAGGAGGCTCCTGTTTCCTCACAGAGCTACAATTCCCAGAGTTCCCTGGGAAGAGGGATTGTTAAAACACTCTGAGAATTTCAGACGGGGCCTACCTCTCAAGTTAATACAGGGGTTTGTCTCCTGTTCTAGAGACTGTATTTGCTAACCTATAACTAGAAACAGCATTGAAATGTGGCAAGTCAAACTGAAACCCTTTCCTAAGCACATTTATATTTCATATTTATTTTCAAGAGGGATAGACTTCTGAGTAGTTCTGTTGTCTTCAGTGCTAATGCTTCAGAGATTCTAGCATAAGATTTGTGTTATATGATTCCTGTAACACACTTATTTTGTGTGATGATCCTAATGGAAATATATTGACTTATCCTTGTGCACAGAGCTGAACTCACGTGGTGTACCTAAAAACCGGTAATAAGTTTGAAATTGTAAGAACTTCATGTCTGTTTTCCAGATAAAAACAAGTGATCTTGAACCTGAAATAGCTGCTTCCACGGAAGAAACTGAAGTCTTCTACTACAAAGGACTTTAATGTGGGCACTTGATAATGACCAGGACTGCTGTTCCTGGTATATCAAAGTTGCATATTCAAACTTATGGAAGTGAACATTTGGTATCTTTCACCTAGGAAGTTGTTGATTATGTTGAAAGACATGAATCAACATTTGATCAGACCCATCTTCTGTACATCTGTTTAATGCAAAATCTCTACCTTCTGATGCAATCATGTATGAAAAGAACTACATTTGTTGAGAAAACTCCCAACATATTACTAACGCCCTTCAAGAGAGAAAAGGTTTAATTGTGTGAAATACCTGTGTGTATCCATTGAAAGCCTGTGGCAGAGAACAAAAGGACAATTTAAAGTTCCCCCAGCCACCCAGTAATGTTTTCAGTGACTGCCAACTTCAAAGGACTTTGCTAAAGAGAACATTATGTGATCACTACCTTCTGGTGAAATTTAAGCTGCTTCCCTGGTCGAGCTGGATCCTGGTTAAAGCTTCAGAAAGGCTATGCAAATTGTACTGTGGTTTACCCTATGGCAAGAATGCTGTAGCTTGTGGCGTGGGCCCTACAAACTTCCCTACTTCGTCACGAAACCGTTCACAGCTTGCGGCTTGGGAGCAGCTTTCAATAGGGGAAATATTTTCTATATAGAAGGAAGGTGCTCAAAGTGCTGTGAGAAGTGTTTGGGGTAGAGGAACTAGAGCAGTAGCAGCCAATATGGCACCTGCCAGCTGTTGCTGGACTACCAGCACCCATCACCCTAACCACTGGCCCTGCTGGCTGCAGCTGATGGGAGCTGGCACATGGAGAAACACTTGGGAGGGCAACAGGTCCCCCCCCATCCTTATCTATTAAATATTCATACATGTGCACTTGTGCAAATGTTTCATTCAAAAGTTTCAACTGCTGTCAATATGGTAAAGTTGTACTGAGCATTTTTTAGAGAGGTAGGAACAGAAGATTATGCGTAGTTTTATCGCTGCCAAGGTAGCCTGTTCCATGCTGCTCACACGACTGGCTTTATCACTGTGTCTGCCCAAACAGGAGTCAGGTTTAATCCAGCAGTACAGATGCAGGAAAATGCTTTTCTGCTTAATAATCTGGAACTAGTACTTGAAGAATCAGTGTGTACTCTGCTCTCCCTGTAGGGTATACGCCAGTTCATTAGTACAAATGTAAATAGTATGATTATCAACAGGATCCTGATTGTGTTCTGATTAGGCTTTGGTGTGTGGGATATATATATATACACACACATATAAATACATATATACATATTTGTGTGTGTACACACTGTGTACACACACAGAGAGGCCTCTCTTACCTATGCAGACACTGCTGGTCCCAGAACCAGAACATTTTATATACATGGAAACTGGAAGGCTAATTTTAAATGATACATAACTTGAAAAATCACAAAGCTACATTCTTTTTACATGTCCAGAATCACATTTAAGTTGGGCCCAAGTTTTATGGGTGCTGTTTTGTATTAATAGAAAATGTACACACTTTCTGCAAAAAGAAATGCACAGTACTTCATCCGTATTAGCAAAATGACATTTACAGTTTTGAAATTTATGGGAGGAATGCAGTTGCACCAAAACTGGAGAGGTAAACTTTTGTTCAGCGGGCTTTTTGATATACACACTGTTAGCTCAAACATTTCTATACAAAAGTGAATGATGGGCCCCCTGAAAATAGAAGAGCGGTAGTCAACCTACAAACATTCTAGGACTCATACGTATACATAGCTGTCTTAATTTTCTTTTTGTATCCTTCATACTACAACACCTAATTCAAGTTCCTTAGAGGTCATAGTACAAGTAGAAGACAAATGACTCTGAAATTGATATTGCTAGAACACAGTCATGACTTAAATAATTGAATAGTATTTCAAAATATGATAGCAGTAGAAATAAGTACAAACTTTTAAAAATAACAGAAGTATATAGGGTGGGATTCAGCGGATACCCTGTGCAAAAGTTTCTGCAACAGGGCTTGCCCCTTGAAATTGGCTTAAGGGTAGAGGGGTCAGGATACCACCCCCTAAACTGTGCAGGAGAGAAAGGACTGTTCCATCTGGCGTGTTCTGCAACGCTTGTGCAGACAGAAAGTTCACCATAGTGTGATGCTGAATTCCACCCTACACCCACCATGTTCTAAGGCATATTTTTTTTTACGAAGCCCAGGAACTTAAATGATTTTTTTTTTTTTTGTACAGAAAGTGCAACTGCAGAGGCTCTTCAACAGTTCTCATATTTCTCTGCAAAACTCTTGGTTTGTAATAATTAACCCTTTGGGATCGGGGCCAGACTACATATTACACACAGACACATATATTCAAACCTCAATGGCAGCTGCTTTAAGGGGCGGCGGGGGGGACGGGGACAACTTTAATTGGACTTATTTTTGCCAGATGATAGGTCCATCCTGCTAAGTTTCAGGTACCTGCTTACTCTTACAAACCTCTCTCGACACCCCACGGGGGAAGTAGTAGCAGGAAGAGGCAGTACCATCTTTCTTGCAGCTTCTTTTGCCCAACGGCAGGAGCCATGGGTTTCAGATACACAGATTTGTGCGTAATGTATAATTTGGCTCTTGTCTTCCCTCTTAAGACTGATGGTATAGCCCTTGACTCTAGCACAACCTCTGCCACCAAATGCATGAAGGGTTTCTTGGCGGGGGTGGGATCATGCTCACTGCCCCGAATGCTCAGCCCTCCCCATGCACCCAGAATTAATGAGAGGGGGCTCTACAAACATGCACAGGTATATATAGACACAGGACTCTTCCTTGTAATCAGGAACCCTGAACTGATGGGTTCATAATCACCAGGAAAAGCTGTAAGTGCAAAGGGATCTATCAAGGCTAAAAGCCAAGCTACCAGACAGGCAGTTAGCAGGCAGATTAACATTCTGTGGCCAGTCTATGCAATCCTGCTCCCCTCCCCAATAGGTATTTAAATAAAAAGAGGGCCCCACTCTTGTGCAGCTCTTTGGGCTCCCATTGATTAGCGACTATAAATGGTTTACATAAGACAGATGATTTATCTTGTCTGTTTTAATGGCTTTCATATTTTCATTATCACTTTTGCAGCATCCTGTTTCTTTACACTAGGATGCTGATAGGGTTTATCAAATTTTCCACTTTAATACAGAAAAACTTGTGTCCTTTATGTAAGCTGTCTTTTCATTTTGCCTTAAAAAGAAGAAATCTGTCCCATTTTGTAGAAAACCCTAAATTAAAAAAATGGGGGGAAAAGAAGTGTTTTCCGCTACACACTGCAGTGTTTTATCTCAAGCCTGCAACATCCTTACTCCCCCCTCTTTCCTCTGCGGAATGTTCTGCGTAGGTATGGGATGCTCAGAAAACATGGCGGCAGAGAGAACTTTGAATCGCTGTATGAAGTCCACCCATCAGATCTTTAGCATTTGTTCAGCGGCTGCCAAATGATAGAGGAAATTTTCCGTAGCTGGTGGAAATCTCTTCTGCTTCAGTGCTTCAAAGTTAAGTGACGGCTTCTCTCCATCATGCAAGACCTCTGTGAAGGAGGCCAGGTTCGTCAAGATTTCTTTCGTCTTCAGTGAAATATCCTAGAGACATAAAGAGGAAATAAAAGAGAGCAAACAGGAAATGAGGGTGCCAACAACACTTCCCACTTTTCTTTGAGAGAACAGCAAACTTGGGACACCTCACTGCTCACCCCAGACTAGATCATTTATAAAAAAAGTTTAAAAAGCAGAGGTTGCAATACTAAACCTTGGGGGACTTCTACTCTACATCCCTGTACTGTCCATTTATTCTGGCTTTCCATTTCCTGTTACTTAACTAATTCTTGATGTACAAGAGGAACTCCTTTCCCCCCATTTTTGCTTACTCAGGAGTCTGGTGAGGGAGTTTGTCGTAAGCTTTTAAAAAGTTTTTGAAGTTTTTGTTAGCACAAACTGCTGTTCCTAGTGTGGGATGCAATGTGGAACAGCAGTTTGTTCCAAAATTATGCTTTCACTCTCCTCTCCCATACAGAGGAGGAGTGTTTTGGTCCAAGGTTCATTGCCCAGCTCATTCCCTGTCACCTAAACTCTGCTTTTAGCAGATCATCTGAACCAGTGTTTTCTCATCTCAGGAAGAAAGGCAAAGGCACAACATCCTGGGCAACAGAACTGTATGAAAGGTTTGAACAGTCCAAAGATAAGGAACTTAACCTTAACAACTTGACTGTTTGATTTCTCAGGATCTTCTGCGGACTGAACAATGAGCTGACCAATTTCTTTGTGGAGTTTCCCCATCGTCATTGCCTCTGGGGATAGAGAAAAAGCTTTGTCATTCATTTCCCATTATCTAGTTCAGCAAAATACTGTAATGTGCAGTTCCAGACTATGTTATGGCTCTGGTCACAAGCACTGAGGTCAGTGGATGCCAAAAGTTTCCTGACAGCAAGACAGAGTAAATACAAATGAACTCTCACCTCCAGTATCACAGATTCTTCATACCAGTACTGAGTTAACATATTTTTGCTGCGTATGTCGTAGAAACATTGCACTGACAGAACCCTTCTTACTACCCACTTTTAGAATCTAGATTTTTTTGGCTTCTATTATGCTGTAAATTTCCTTTTCCAGTCAAGGCACGTCCTTGTGAGTATTACCATCCATTTTATCCAGTTTCCATTCATTATCAATGAAAATCACAGGCTTGTCACACTCATTAAAAAATAATATTCCCCAGTTTTCTTTTAGCCTTTCTTTATTATCATTACTATTTCATAGGTGCCTGCCTTGGCATACCTTTTACAATTTTCACTTTTGTTCAAAATTAGCTTTGGCAACCACAGCATCTCCCTTTGATGTTTACTTTAATGCATGCCAATCAAAGCGTTTGGGATAAAGGAAACAACAGAACATATCCTGGGACCCAGACTGCGTAAGAGTGAGTTTGTGCAATAATTTTTTTCAACATTACGAAGTTACGCCAAATTCTTCCGAAATGTGCATCTATCAAAGTGCAAACTGCAACTTGCAAGGGATGGGGGGAGGCACGTGATTCAGGCAACAAACCTTTTGCTTGCGGTGAAATGGTGATTTCACTTTCGGCCAGATTCACATATACATCATAGAGGTCTGGCCTGTTGCTCACTTCTGAGTCTATAAATCCAGCAACATAACCTGGTCAGGAAAATTTTTACCATGATTACTGAGCGAGTACATTCCAATGTGAAGTGCTTTAATAATAATTTTAAAAAATGTTTTCACCACAGTGATTTCCTTGCCTTTTAACCATCTCAAACCTGCATACCAGTGTGGAATTGCTACCAATTCCATGTCAAATTGCTTTTTAAAAAAAGGCATGTGCAGAATTCCATCTGCTATTCATTGCATCTACAGAAAAATCCCAGAAGGGAGGCCAGCAACATGATATGTAACATGCATTAAATTATTTTACTTCAAAATAAAATAGAAAAGCTCTACACACAACACGATATATTGAGAGAATTTCTTTGATCAATGCTTAAAGAGGAGTTGTAAAAAAAATGGACCAATTGATTACTCTTTAGAAAGGGAATTAAGGACTGCTTCAGAACAGCAATTTTGAGATGCTGGATTGGGACCTATTATTGGATCGCAGAAAAATAACTCAGTCAATATTTGCCAATGTGGCATTATGGGACAAAGAATGAGTAGTATCTCATTTGTGCTACTGACGTGTGATTTGCCAACCAAAAAAGAAACAACTATATTTGAAAAGTAGAATATCTGCAAACCACAGTTCTGAGAGAGGATTATTACAAGATTAATAGTATTCCATCTTTCGGTCCTATCCAGGTCAACAAAGGAGAATTTAGTTATTGTGTAGAACAGTTTATAGAACCCACCCTTCATTATCAATACCTGGGCATGTCTTTAATGCTTCCAGTTCATCATCATTCAGATGTACATGTGAATGAAGGATTGACCAGTCTTGGCGATGCCACACTAAGGCTGGTAGAGTCCTTAAGAAAATAACCAAGTCACAATTGACATTGTACTCAATACAACAGTAGCTTTCAAGGAAGACTGCTTAGCCTGTGCCTCAAAGTCTTTTGTAACCATGAAGACCAAAGCACATCACTGAAAGTTATAGGTTGTTTAATGTTTGGGATACAGAGAAAGAGAAAATGCTGCATATAAATCACAAGTTGGACCTGCAACAAAAAATGTTGCAGCTGGAGTGCTCTTGCTTGTGGCTGGCTAGCTGAAACTCTGCCCACTAGCAAGATACTCTATTCCATTTTTCACCCATCTTTTTCCATCATCATCCCAGCTCTAAAAGCCAGTCAGCATTCCAGGGCTAGTGGGCATGCTCAGTCCTCATTAGGATGTTTTTGAGTCTCCCCATCCCCTCACAAAGGTCTCCCCCCAAAGAAATTATTTGAAGTTCTACAAACATTGCTGCTCCTCCAAGCCCTTTGGTATCTCCCTCATTTGTGTGAATGGTGCTGTTTTGGATATGTAGGAATTGGCACTAGACCATTACAGGTAGCTTGCATCTTATGTCAGAGTTCAGTTTCAGGGGTTCCATACATATAAGCAAAAACGTGTAAAGCCAGGAACCTGTGGAACCAGCCCTACCACAAGGTGTTTAGCCAACTTTGGAAAGGGGGATGTGAGGGCTCTGGCAGGTCCTAGAGCCCTTCCTCCTCTCCAAAGTCCTGCGAGTGTTTGCCTACCTTTGGAAAGAAGGGAGGGCTCTAGGACTCTGCCAAGCCGTCACGTCTTCTTCTCAAAGCGAGTAATCTTGCAAATCTGCTCAGGTGGTTGAGGGGAAATAAATGAATGGAGAGTAGGTTTCATTTGCTCTCCATTTATTTATTTATCCCACCCCCTGCCTGCACAAAGCTGCCATCATGTAAGTTAAATAAGTGTAAGATGCAAGTTACCTGTATTAATGAATATGACCATACTCATGATCAATGAAAACAAAACGAAGCATGCTTGGTGAACTTTTTTAGTTCACCTGGGTGCTGTACCTTGTAAATTCCTGGATGGCTTCTAATCTGGGGTGATATACTACAATTCTTTTCTTTAACATGAGTGCAGTATACAGGATGACTATTTCCATTCCAAATTGAGATACTATATCTAGAACAGGAGATGGAAAAATAGGATTTTAGTACTGAAAGGAAGAAGACTTCTATACAACTTGCAACAACCTAAGTATTAGGATTGGATGAGAGATCATGAGAAAGTTGTTTTATAACAGGAAATGGAGCTTACTTCTGTCAGGCGCTACATTTGATGTTATTTTGCAAAGTGAATCTGGTGTTGTGAATACGCTTGTGCATACAGTTATTCTTGCTATTTTTAATGTACTATAATGCAGTTATAACTTGTATGAATTAGAGGACGAGTGAATGTTTCGAAAGGTGGCCCAAGTCAGGAAAAGCAAGCTCCAGTGGTTGATGGATATAAGCAGGGCATTGTTTTAAGTGAAACATCAGGTTGAAGACAAACAACATTCCTTGGGAGATGAAACTGCATGTTCCAGGACATCTGTGTTCAATTGCCTAGACCCTAAAGGCACTGCGATAAGGACAGAGAGATAAGCACAGAGATTATGACCTTCGAGTCACATTGCTGGAAAAAGCCTTGCAATTCTAGAGGAATTCAGGTGGGGGGTCGGAAAAATAACGCAATGATCTTGCAATCTCCAAAACTTTCCAAGTTGGCCTTGCAGTGCAGAGAATATCTGCCATCAAGACGAAGCTATGCAAGCCAAAAACTGAACTGAGGATATAAGAACTGTGGAGGCAAAAACTGTGAAATCTTTGGGTGAAAACCTAAGGAGCAACATAGCGTTTCCTCCTCACCCCACTGCACTATTTCTCTGTGTACTACTAAGCTGTCCACTTAGGAAACATTCACACCATACATTTAAAGCACCATGACACCATTTTAAACAGTCATGTCTTCTCCAAAAAGAATTATGGAAGCTGAAATTTTTTAAGGGTGCCAAGACTCCTATACTCCTCCCAGAGCTATACTTTCCAAAGTGGTTTAACAATCAATCCCTCTTCACTGGGAACTCTGGGAATTGTAGCTCTGGTGGAGGGGGACTAGGCATCTCCTAACAACTCAGCAGCCTTAACAAACTACAGCTCTCAGAATTGTTGGGGGGGAAGCCATGACTATTTAAAATGGTATCATAGTGCTTTAGAGGTCTAGTGTGAATGTGGTTTTAGCCACAACATTATTGGGTAACTAGATTCCTGCAGAGAGTGAATCTGAATGTGCTTTATCAACTGAGTGCTCTTCAACAGATGAAACTAATAAATAACTTCTGAAAACTAGTACTGTTCCCATGACACTTCCAAGAGTACATGTTTGGGACTGGGGCAAAATCATCCCCAAAGCTTTAGAAAAAATTCTTCCCACCTTTGACTGAGCCTGCAAGGTAAGCTTTTCTGACATCAAAATCTTTGCTCAGGAAAGATCCGTTTTCTTCACTCTGGCAGATCCCCTTTGTAAGGACAGAAATATAGCTCTCCATCATTTTTGCAGGACTCCCATATTTCAGGTATATTCTTGAAAAATAAACATAATGAAACAAGTTTTTTATGTCTTCACAAAAAACCCCCCAAAGAGAATTGAAAAAAACAAGCCAGCACTTTCTAGGACAACAGCCCTAAGATACGTTCACTGTTAATTAAGATTAAAGACTCACACACAGGTTTGTCTTTCTCAATCTATGGTTTGCTTAATACACTATTTATTAAAATGTTTATAGCCCACCTTTCCGCCAGAGACCCTCAAGGCAGCTTACAACACAAAATTTAAAAAGAATTAAAGAATTATTGACAACAGCTGCAAGAAAACAGCCAAAATGAAATTACAGCAATGAACAAAAATGAATGCTATCTTTAAAAGCCATGTTTTAGCTGCTAAAAGGCAAATAAGGAGGTAGCCCAAAGGCCTAGCTGGGAGTCATACTAGAATCTAGCCCAGGGATGGGGACTCTGCAGCAGTTCACCTATTGTTGGATCACAACTCCCATCATCCTTGACCATTTGATACACTACCTCAGATTGATAGGAAATAGCATCAAACAACTTGTTCAGGGCCACAGCTTCCCCATCCCTGGCTTGGCAATGCAGTCAAAAAGGCCCCACCGTGCTACCCAGTCTGATGGATTTTATAGGGTGGGGGGAGGGGGAGGAAATCAACAAGTCTTCAACTGTTGAATGGAGGGCTTGAGTGGGCAGCTGGACCCAAACCAGCACTTTGAACTGAGCATGGAAGCACAATGGGAGCCAGTGCTGCTGAGACAGTGTCATGATCGGGACACTTCCTGACCGCCTGACCAGCTGTGCTGTGAAGCTTCTGAAGGCTCTTCAAAGGCAGTTCTGTGCAGTGTTTCAATTGATAAATCCCAAATAGATGCCCACCACAGAACATCAGTTCTGGTGCAAAAACGATTCTTTGATTTAAGCTAGTGTCTGCTAGAACACACTGCACGCACAGCCCTAAAAGAGGTTACCCCTCCCATGTGAGACAGCAAGCTGGATAGCATCTTCTAAGATAAATGATGTGCACTTTTAACAGGCAAATACAAAATTAAATAATCTACTAAAAATCTACTGCCTAATTCATAGGGAGCACTTTTCTAGTTAACCAAAAGTTTTAAAAAACTTATCTACCAAACCTGTAGTATAAAACACAGCAGTTATACACACCGACAGAGGATCCTAGTGAAGGCTGCATATTTCTCTGGGTTAAAGTCTTTGGTAGTCAGGACAATGGAAAAATGGGTCACCTATCCAACACACAGGAAAAAGAAAAGGTTGCTTGATACGCCATTATAAACACCATACTGTAAACATGGACATTATAGCAACACCAGGAGGATCAGCTCACCAAATCTCATCGAAATACAGTAAATCGAGACAAAATTAAATCAGTTCAGTTGTTCATATGATCTGCCAAGTGCTAAGAAATGCCTTCTACCATTCCACTTCAAATCCCATGAGTGTGGCGGGGGATAACGCAAAGAATCACCCATTAGATGGGGAAGCCCCTTTGCAAGAAATAAGCAAGTTCAACACTGTTTTTGGAGCTCACAACAAGACCTAAGAGTTTTGTTGCATTTCCAAAGATGGAGCAGTGAGGAGGATGCTTCACTCGACTGCAAAAGTGTGTTCAAGATTTGACCGTCTTATCTCTTTTTTCTTTTTCTTCCTTTTTTCAGAGCAAAGCGTTAGGCATTTGAAACAGCACTTGCATAGCATCCAAAGCACGTTCAACCACGTAAAGGTGCTGTAGATCACCCATGGTATTTATACCCCACCCTGAAACCTTCAGGTGAAGCAGGGAATGGAGTTGCAGTGGTAGGAAGAAGCTAAACAAACATACATTAAGTGTAAAAACAAATCTGCAGAGACATTTTAATAAACGCAAATAGAGGTTTTTAAACCACAGCACTCTTTTCTATATTCCTCATTATTCCCATTCATCAGAATGCTTATTTTTGTTGCTTCCAGAACACTCTCCTAACTGCTACTTTATTCCTTCACCTCCCATTCTTGCGTATGGGATAATCTGCTCAGGGTTTGGGAGTTGGCTTGGGGTTGGTTTTTTTTGCAGCTTTCTCAGGTACAGTGATACCTTGGGTTACATACGCTTCAGGTTACAGACTCCGCTAATCCAGAAATAGTACCTCGGGTTAAGAACTTTGCTTCAGGATGAGAACAGAAATCGTGCTCCGGCGGCGCAGCAGCAGGAGGCCCCATTAGCTAAAGTGGTGCTTCAGGTTAAGAACAGTTTCAGGTTAAAAACGGACCTCCGGAACAAATTAAGTACTTAACCTGAAGTACCAGTGTATTACTGAGCTGCAACATGACATTGGTGACAGATTCATTTACAATCCACCTTGAAATAGCCATCAGGTTTTGAATCCACCGATTTATGATCTACAGTGCAACACTATGCATGGTTGCTCTAAAGTAAGCCCTGCCTCAGCCTCAGTTGATCACCCAAGGCCTCAACATCCAGCTCAGTTGTATGGGCCACAAACCTTACATGCTAGTACATAGGAACACTGCTATAAATGGCACAAGAATGGGCAGCTGGAAAGGGCAGGTTGATAAGCTGTGCCTAAACCAGTTGTGTTATAATACGGAAAACCTACTCTTTGTTCCCCACCCTAATGACCATGAATTCTAGACAGATTTCCCATGTAGGTTTCAGTGGAAATGTGTATTAGTGGGATAATATGGCTTTTAGTTTTCGCTATTTATTTAAAGATTTTTTTATTCTGCTCTTCAGCCAAAAAAAGGCTCTCAGATCAACTAAAAAAAACTAACAGCCAGGCTTACAGATTAAAAAGACATGAGTCAAAAAGAAAACGGACTGGGATGGAGGGAAGAAACTGTAAACATATGCATGGCCATGCAATTAGGCAATGTATTTGAAAACTCTCCAGGGCCACCTAAAATTAAGAGCAATATGATATTTATTTATACAGTGGTACCTCGCAAGACGAATGCCTCTCAAGACGAAAAACTCGCAAGACGAAAGAGTTTTTGGTTTTTTGAGTTGCTTCGCGAGACCAATTTCCCTATGGGCTTGCTTCACAAGACGGAAACGTCTTGCAAGTTTGTTTCCTTTTTCTTCAAACCGTTACAGTAATACAGGGTGCATTGCTTGAAGAGGTGCAGTTGCGACTTGACTTCGGGGAGCAACTCATAGCACGCGGTGTGGTAGCCTTTTTGAGGTTTTTGAAGATTTTTTTGAAAAAATTGAAACCGTGCTTCGCAAGACGAAAAAACTCGCAAGACGAAAAAACTCGCAGAACGAATTAATTTCGTCTTGCGAGGCACCACTGTATGTAAAACAATGTAGACACTAAGGCATATAATATAGGCCATGCCTGCAAAGGATTCCTAAACCCAGTATTAGTAAGTTTATAGCAAGTGTTTAACAATGGATGTGCAGGATAAGACATTTCTGTATCAAGCTCCTTTCTCCAATATTTCCATCCTACCTTTTTCAAGGCTGAAGAATCTGGTACTTCCATGGTTGTAACATAAAACCACGTCAGCCTGTATTGACCAAATGCGAACGAGCGAAGCTGTTTGCTTTCATCTGTAAGGCAGCATTTTCTCAACAAGAGGTCCCTTAATTCAGTTGTTGTAGAAGGATAGCACCAGACCCACAGAGTATCTCCATTGGTATCTTTTTCTATGGTGGAAAGATGTTCACTGTGAGAATGCCAACAGCAGCAAGGAAGTAAATTGATTGGTTAATCAGATCTGTTGGCTGCAATCACCTTTAACACCTGCATTTTACACACACTAAAGCTTTTGGTTTCCGCTAACATCTATTACAAACTTAATTCACTTCTTCTGTTTTAGATGTATGCTGCAACATACACAAATGCCTTATTTACATTAAAATATGAGGTCATGACCTATGGTGCTCAGGGTAGAGATTCTGCAGTAGTATTACTGAAAACTACGAACCATTCCCATCCCCTGCTGCAACTAATAGGGCAATCTAAACCTCAACCAGGTCAGTGGTCAAATATGACAAGAATCAGTGCCACACCCACAGCCCTGTTCCTCATGCTGGCTGCCATGGAAAGCAGAGGAGGGGGCAGGTAAATTTGGATCAAGTGCCATCAAGTGATAGCAGTGGGGCTGGCTCAGGATCCAGTGGATCCTGGGCTGTTTTAGCTCCTTCCCCACCAAATGTCCCTTGTCTTGATCCTGCTGGCAGGCATAGGCAAAAGGACACCACTGCCAAATTCTAAACCCACCCACACCCGGACTGGCACAAATGACTTTTGGATTGTAGCCTAAGCCTGTAATTGTAGTCTAAGCACTTGCAGCTAAAACAATTGTACACCGCTGCCCTGTTTTTCCCTTCCTCTGTGCACCCCTTGTACTGAATTTTAGACTGTACGCTCCTCAGGGCAGGGACCTGCCCTCTTGAACTCTGAAGAGCAACAGACACACTGATGGCACTAAAAGAAAGAAAGAAAAGCAAATGAAACTACTGACTCATTTCCTAAGTTTCAGAAGCACTCTCAAGCAGATGACTTAAAAAAAATATGGAGTGCACCATTACACACAGTGACTTTAATAAACCACACTTATGTTGACAAGTCAAGGAATATGCACATATGGGTCATTTAGAAAAATATGTCAGTTGCTAGATCTTCATAATCACAGCAGTATGGATAAGACTGCAAGTTCACATGCCTAGATCTATAAGGTCTTCTTTTGTACATCAGCACAGGGGAGGGAACTATAAGTGACAGGCGACGTTACAGGCAAGGCTGATGGAAAGCAAGTCCTGATAGGGTCTACGAACTCCTTACACACGCTAAGGGAGCAAACACGAACTCCCCAGCCTTAAATTAATCCGGAATAGCTTCCCCTCCACAAATAGCCGTGTACTGAAGAAGCGAAACACCCGCCCTCTGATCATTCGCCCATACTCCCGATTTGGCATACGGGGTATTATCGATCCAGTGGCACTAAGCAGGCAGGAAAGGAAGAGGAAATTGCCCATCTCCATCAGTGCACGAACTACCGCCTATTCTGGGGGGGGGGGGGGGAGCGGGGATTTGTGGAGCGGGGGCCGGAGAGAGAGAGAGGCAGCGGGGCGCGATCCTGCTCCCTCCCAGCTGTTTCCCTGCAATGCGCAGCAGGGAAGCGGGGGACGCGGGCGCGCTTACCAATCAGCCCCACACTCAGCAGCAGCTGAGCCTCGGTCTCTGCCATCTTCCTCCTCCCTTCTCCAGGACCCCGCCTATTTCCTGAGAGCCTTCCCCGGCCCCATCCTGGGCCTCCTAGAGCGAGAGAAAGCCAGTCCTCCCCGCCTCCTGGCTTCCGGTTCCACTGGGGAACTCCATTTTACGCGCAAAGAGCGGGAGGAGGAGAAAGCGCCTGCTTTCCGTTTAGCTTTGGCTTGAAACCTCTCTGCCTCTCGATCTATCAATCCAAAGGAGCGTTGGAGATGGCAATTTCACTAGATATAAATTTGCTGGAAAGTTGTTTTCCGACAGGGTATTTTTTTTCAATGCTATGTTGCCTCTTGATTATAGAAGCCTATTTTAGTATTAAGCAGCATATTGTTTAAAGGTTTTAATTACTTAACATAAAGCAGGGCACGAATTTATGTAATATTATTTATTTATTTCACGAATAAATAAAAAAGTAAGTTAATACAGCAGTTCAGTATTTTCTGACACATGCCTTGTTAAAGGTAAAGGTACCCCTGACTGTTAGGTCCAGTCGCAGACGACTCTGAGGTTGCGGCGCTCATCTTGCTCTATAGGCCGAGGGAGCCGGCGTTTGTCCACAGACAGCTTCCGGGTCATGTGGCCAGCATGACTAAGCTGCTTCTGGCGAACCAGAGGAGTGCACAGAAATGCCGTTTACCTTCCTGCCGGAGTGGTACCTATTTATCTACTTGCACTTTGACATGCTTTCGAACTGCTAGGTGGGCAGGAGCAGGGACCAAACAATGGGCACTCACCCACCGACCTTCTGATCAGCAATCCCTAGGCTCAGACCACAGCGCCACCTGCGTCCCTCTTGACACATGCCTTAGTGCATCTTAATTCTGTTCCAGCACAACACAAAAGTCTCCAACTGGCCATAGGTGTTTGTTGTCCACGTCTTCTAAAGGGGGGCTGTTATTGTCAAAGTTTTTGTCCATTGCTGGTGAAATTGATTTTCTCAATAAGCATCAATATTTTTTTAAAAAACAAACTCCCATTGTTTCAGCTGATTTTTAGAGATGGCCACTTAGCGCAATGATTTTATTTGAAATATTGATGTATTATATCCTACTTTCCATCTGCACTACAATAATGTATGTACTATGTAGTATTGTAGCAGAGATACTGTCATGGGATGTGCTGCACGGTATTGCAATGTGTGACACACCAAAATAGAGACAGCAATGTAGTGGTTATAAACACTGCTTTATTATTATTTGCATTTATATCCACCACTTCTCCCAGAACCCTGAAGGGAGCCACACTTAATTCACATTTTTTTATCCTCACAACCCTGTAAAGTGGGATAAGCTGACATTGTGTGACAGGGCTGTAGGACTGGGTGGGGATTTGAACCCTGGTCTCCCCAGTCCTGGTCTCCCTCTTTTAATCACACCAGTAGACACCACAATCAACTTCAGCTCTTATCTAAAATGTGTAGGTCATAATACATAGTGGTTTCAATCTTCAGGTAATTAGCAATGTGGCAGTAACAACACTACTACCTTGCAGGATTGTCATAAAACATCATCACTTGTCTCAGGCCCTGCATGTATGTGCAGGGCAGAGGGGATTCTTACTGGAAAGGCAGTGTGCAATGCAGGGAGGTTTATCTCTTCACCCTCCCCTTGTAATCCAAAATGGAGATCTCCCATGCAGCTAGAAATCTTAGAAAAAATCAGTTCCAGTGATCTCAGTTCCAACCACATGCATGGCCTTCATTAGTGCTATGGTGAATTCCAGGCTGGATTATTACAATGAGCTCTCTGTGAAGCTGCCTTGAAGAGTGGGTTGGACACTTCAGCTAGTGCAGATGTTGTTTCTTGCCTATTGACATATTTGAGTTGGCTTGCTAGTGTGTCACATGTTCTGAAATAGCTGCACTGGCTGCCAGTAGACTTTTAACCCTAACCAAAGGCAGTTTCTCAGTCTCACTTAATGAAGTATAGGAATGGAATGGTGTAGGAGAAAATTATTTATGAATTAAATGTACACTCTCCACTTTCCCCCCTCCAATGGGCTCAAGATGTTATAATGTGAATGTCACAACAACGTAAGCTATGCTATAACAGTGACTGCTTAAAGTCACTGTGTGAGCTCCATAGCTGGAATGGGGATCTGAACCTGGGTCTTTTAGGTCTAAAAGACGAACACATTAATGCAGCACAGCACACCATATTACACACACTGGCTCTCAATCCCAAAGAATTCAGCAAGGAGTGCTCTAATCCTAAACACAACAGGCCACAAGAACATAATCCTCTTTTAAAGCCATCCAGGTTGGTGGCAATCCCTGCCTCCAGTGGAAGTGAGTTCCACAGTATAACTGTGGAAGAAACTCTTTCTTTTAATCTGTCCTGAACCTTCCACTATTCAGCTTCATCGGGCGCCCTCGAGTTCTAGAATCCCGCGACAGGGAGAAAATCTTCTTATCCGTGCCGCGTAGTTTTATCACGTCGCCGCCTAACTCGCTGAGCAGCGCTGGCCTCGAACTCTCCACCACCGGACCCGCTCTAAGCACAGCCTCCTTGCGCATGCGCCCTTCGAAGGTTCGGCGCCTCGAAAGCTCGGGACTGACCCCGCCCTCTCCACCCGCCTCCGCGACTGGCACCTTCGCTTCCGGACACGTCCGTGCGCGGGGCGCGTCACGTGACGCGCTCCATTTCCGGCCTCGCTTTGCTGCCTGGCTGGGCGCTCCTTGGGGCTCGTTGCCGTGTGAGGAGAAGCCGTCGCCATCATGCCGGTCTACTTCCAGCGGCCCGAGAACGCCCTAAAGCGGGCGAACGGTGAGTGCGGAGCTCGGGGGCCGCTCGCCAGCGGGGCCGGGGGAGGGCCCGCCTCCGCGCCCCGCCCGCGCCCCCATTATGCTTAGTAATGGAGGCCGAGGCCTAGGCTCCCGCCACACTTGGGAGGCCCAGGCACCCGCCACGCTGACCGCAGCACGGCCTCGCCCTCCTCTCCGCGCTGTCGCTTGGGGTGGCCGGCCGGCCCCGGCAGGCACGCAGCCGAGGTGGAAGGAGTGGCGGTGAAAGGGACGAGCTCTTTAGACACGAGGCCTCTCCGCTCCTCGTGGCGGCTCTCGCGACTCACTTCCTCTCGTTTGAGCCAGGCTTCCGCGCGAGGGGGTGTGAGCGGGGAGAGGGATGCGCCTGGTTTTTCCTCCCCCTCTTTCGTCAGTAAATAAAACACATTTTTAAAAAAGTGCCTCCCTAGGCAGCGCTTGTCTTCAATGGCTGTCGTGTTATACCTGTTCCCAGTGGCCACGGTCGTCACAGTTGATTATCCCACCACCCCGAATCAATAAACAAAGGGCGGCTTTTATCTCGCGTAGGGATCTTTGGGTTTCGAAATCCCTCTCGCATGTTCCCTACGTTTCGTTAGGAATTATGGCCTGCTCCAAGAATCCTGGTTTAACTCAGTTTCCCAGTGGCGTCCATGACAAATCTAGCTACAGCGCTGCAGGAAATGGGCGCTCATTCTCCGCCTCTATCTTCCCCCTCCCCCGTTCCCCATTTTTTTTAAACCATTAAATTAATATCGTTCATTTTGAGACCCCCATAGCAGGGGTGCCCAAATTTTTTTCAAAGAGGGCCAGATCTGATGAAGTGAACATGCATGAGGGCAAACCAAAGTTGTTGACCTTTTTTAGGATTGATTTTGTTGAGCCTTTTAGGGCTTTACCCCAGGATTAAATCGACCAGCAGGCCAGATTAGGGCCCCCAAATGGACTTTGGACATGCCTACCCCAGAGCGTGCACTGCCTGGTATGATGTAAAAGTAAATATTTGGTCTTTTTCAGAGTTCATATCACATCTGATGACACAGAACTAAGCATATGGAACAAAGGTTACAATTTTTCTTGCTTTCCAGTGTAACGTGGAAAGTCTCTACTGCTAAGCAGCTTCAGTAAACAAAGAACCATTATTTAAAGGAGTTACTTACCATAGTTACTTTTAATTGTAACACCGTGAAATGTCATTGTGAAAACTTAAGACAACTGAACAAGATGGAATTCCATAATAGATTTTAAAGTTTTCAAGTGATATTCAGGAAGTTTGTTGTTACTGTGCTTGATACATCCCATTCCTCCCCTCATCCTTTTCTTTGTCTTTTATGTAGCGCACTGAAAATTCCAGTAACACAGCTCACTGTATTAATATGTAGGGCAGCAAACACACCCACTTTAAAAGCTAATTTAATAACCAAAATGCTGGTAAGAACCAGTTTTAAATAGTAGGGCTGCCTGTTACAGTAGACTCAAGCCAAATATGTGTGAGCATATTATAATTTAATTAAAGCAGGTTATATGTACCTAATAAATACAAGTAAAGTTTGATAAAAACCATTACTGTCAAATGGAATTAAGTCTTGAAATTTCAGTTAAGTTTTTTAAAAAGTTTTTTTATAAAATCATTAACATGCATATTACCATTATGTGAATTATTCAAATCTGCTTACTTGATTTTTCCATTTCCTACATTCAGGCCATTCAGACTTAACACCAAATTATGGTTTGATTTCTAATGCCTGTCTTGCACACTTACTCCCCTCACACACTTCACTCAGTAAATGCCTAATCCTTGTTCGTGGCAAACTAGGGTTTGTTGCTATGTGCAAACAATAATTTGTCTGTTGGACAAAAGTAAACATGATGGTTAGCTGTGGACAAGGATAGGAAGCTACTAATCATGGCATGCAAATTAAGTGGGAATGTACAATGGTGGTTCTTGTAATATCTAACCATGGGGTTTGCCGTCATGTTAGAACACAAACTTCATCTATCATCTGGCAATTGCTTAAAAGTATTGACAGAATACATATTTTTCATTGCATTGGATGCTATATGTTACTAGCGTATGAATAGTGAATTCAAGAGTAAGTGGCCAGGATCTTAATATTGACATTGTTTTGGGATTCATAATTTTAAATGTTTTTTTAGAGCCAAGAATCTCTTGGACAAGAAACTTGAAAATGTATTAATTTCAAAAGTCAAAATGTGATTTAAATAATTTAAAAATCTATTGTTTGAAATCAGGTTTCTTACATTGAAAATAATACATTTCTTTACCAAAATGCCATATTTACTGGTATTTATAGCAATAAATAGTCATTTGCCACTAAAGAGGGATTTTATACAACCAAAGAGCATAATTCAGGAGCTTTGGCCATACAGCCCACATGCCTTTTGTGCTGCAAATTTATTTTGGCTTGGAGAGGAGTCAGATTTCTGTTTGTAAACATACAAGAATAGTAAGCAAGATTGTGTACTGGCTGTACTTGCACTTCATGATAACCCAAGCTTTCTGGCTTACTGTGTTCTACTGAGAATGAACAGCATGTGTGGTGCGCCCTGCTCAGTTGCTTCCACTTTGCCTTCCTGGTGCAAGTGCAAGTCTTGGCTTTGTGTTACATAGAAACCAGGGATCATGGTTTGTTTCTCCATTGCAAGCCATGATTGCCAGCCATCATGAACCAATGGTTTGTTGTTGCTTCCTGATCATAAATATATCCCTGGTTATCCCTGTAATACAAAGCCAAGGTTTCCTGGTTTGTTTAGCCATTTACAGCCAGGGAAGAGTGCAGCAGGAGCAATCAGGCAGCATGCACCAGCTCATTGTTCATTGTCTGTTAACCATGATAAACCAAAATGTCATTTAGCAGATTGGGGTTGACTTTTAATTGCACATGCATGGCATCAGACTGTAATAAGTATTTGTAACTTGCCAGAAGCAAGGTATGGTAGTTCTTGGAGTGTCCTCATGAGATGGAGCATAAGTGTTCATCCATTTTAGTTTGTAGAGTCATAGCTATTCATATTTGAAACGGAAGATATTGCAGAACTCTTATAGCTGAAGGACAGAAATGACAACAGTTTGTAACTACAAATTGTATCACTTCTCTCGTTATTCTAGAACACACAACAATGCTTACTAAAGGTTTAGCCAATCTGTTGCAACCTTTCCTTTTAAAGTGAAACAGTTTTACAAAGAACTGTTGCCACTTCACCGTATTTCTGTTTTTCTTCCCTAGAGACTTAAATAGTTAGTTTGAGCTATCAGAAATGGCTGACTCAAATCGTTTATAGTATTAGTTTCCTGAAATCCTTTTGAAGCATTAAGAATTTGTGGGCAAGTTCACAAAAGCTGGTGGTCCGCAAAAATGTTTACTAGTATGCTGATACACATTTTTTTAAAGTAATTTTTGGCTGTCAGTATTCTGCAAAGTATAAAATTAGACTGTTCCCCCCATTTTACAGTTGTTGTTCAGCCTGATTCCCTGGAGGTGATTATTACTTTCAACAATACTATGGAAATGGCTCTTTATAGCAACTTTCCTCTGTTCCATTCTGAAGCAATATATTTATTAAAATGAAAACAGTTTGTATTAAGAGTCATAATTTATTTTTCTCAGAATTTCTTGAGGTTGGGAAGAAGCAACCTGCTCTTGATGTTCTCTACGATGTTATGAAAAGTAAAAAACACCGAACATGGCAAAAGATCCACGAACCGATTATGCTGAAGTACTTGGAGCTCTGTGTGGACCTCCGCAAGAGCCACCTGGCTAAAGAAGGCCTATATCAGTACAAGAATATCTGCCAACAGGTAAAGGCTCTGAAAAGTGTTATCATATTAATAGTATGTTGTTAAAAACAAGCATTATAATAAAGTATATGTTTCTAGATGTTTTAGAAAAATGTACTTGATGGTTCTGTACTATATATGTGACTATAAAAGCTTCATAGGATTAGAGATAAGGAGCATATATCACCAATAGAACACTTTTGAATGAATTGTAGCTGCAGAAGTCAATTATTCACAGATGCATAGCTACACTTCATTATACTGTCATAGTTTTATATTTATATCTGTATATATTCTTATATAAGTAACTTCACCTCAAGTCTAAGCAAAGTTATTTATAGCCGTTCTAATTCTGATACAGGTGAACATCAAATCCTTGGAGGATGTAGTTCGGGCTTACTTAAAATTAGCAGAAGAAAAAACTGAATCTGCTAAAGAAGAGTCTCAGCAGATGGTGCTAGATATTGAAGACTTAGATAATATTCAGACTCCAGAGAGGTAGGTAACAGTGCTATGATACTTCTTGTTTGAAGCTTAATTTTGTATTATGCATACATATTGAAAAACACTGATGAACTAATTTATGATTTTGGATGCAAGCTGAGTTCTTTTGGCAGACTTATGTCTGACTCAGTCAAATCAACTTTCACCTTGATGTGGAAGACTAAAACAAGAATTGCATTCCCGTGACTTTGAAAGATGCTTTCAAAGAATGCTGTTGTTGTGTCATTAGAATTTCATTGTGCTTCCTGATATGCATCTTGGCAAGTGAGAGGACATGATAAAAAGATTGTGTAGAATAACATATTCCTTTTGTTTCTTAATTCTAGTGTTCTCCTAAGTGCTGTGAGTGGGGAAGACACTCAAGATCGTACTGATCGGTTACTTTTGACTCCCTGGGTTAAATTTCTATGGGAATCATACAGGCAGTGTTTGGACCTTCTCAGAAACAATTCTAGAGTGGAGCGGCTTTATCATGATATTGCACAACAAGGTAAAATCTGTTTGTTTGTTTTTTTGGTAAGACATATGCAGTCACTTTTTAAAGTTCTGGAATCTCTTACTGATTGCCTACTTCCAGCAGGTGCAGGGGTGAGCATTTTGTTCTTTAAAAAGAAAATTAGAAATCTTTGGTTAAAATATTTTTTATAGTAACGATTCAACTGTTACCTGACTTTTTATTAAGGACAGTAAAAAGCGTCTTTTAAAAGATAAGAAAACAAAGTGTAAATTTGAGTGTTAGAAAATATTGTCAGTTTGAACTGCTGGTCTGGTTAGTGCAGCACAGTAAGTCAACCTATGTCTTGCCAGGACTGCATGAAACAGGGTCCCAGAGAGGTGTTGGCAACTGCTTTGCTGTTCCCTGGTCTTTTTACCTCTGTGCCATTCTGAACAAATTAAGGTTTGATTTAGTGTCTGCACCTAGCTCATGGTTAAGTGGTTAGTGAGTAGAGAGCTTAACCATGAGCTCAGATTTGAATAGCATGCTAATCCAAACCTGCATGGTTCAATGTAGTGAGGAGTAAAAATGACTGGTGAGGAGCAAAGCGGCTGCAAGCTAATCTCCAGTAGCTCACATTTGCACATGGTCCCAATAAGCCATACTTCAGTTTATTCTGTTGTGTGAACAAGACCAAACTGACTTTTTAACTGCTTCCAAATGCCATAATTTTATCTTGCAGCTTTCAGGTTCTGTTTGCAATATACTCGTAAAGCTGAGTTTCGCAAACTCTGTGACAATTTGAGAATGCATTTGGGTCAGATCCAGCGTCATCACAATCAGAGTACAGCTATCAATCTCAATAACCCAGAGAGTCAGTCAATGCATTTGGAAACCAGACTTGTACAGTTGGACAGTGCTATAAGCATGGAACTGTGGCAGGTATGTAATTACACAGTTATTGAGGTACTGACAGTCTCTCTTTCTGTTGCCAAATTCTTTTAAGCTTTACTTTCTGTTTTCTGCTTTAAGGGATCTGGTAATTTAGAGAGCTGTACATAAATAAGCTAACATAAATTTATTTATTAATAAAGTTTTCTGGTAAAAGTGTGCTTAGGCTCAGAACTTGGGATGAGCATACCAGGACTGGGGAACTGTTTCTGGTCAGTGGACCAGATTTTAATCTCCCCTGCAAGCCACATTTGACAGGTGGCTGAAGCCTGTCAATCACCTGGCATCATAGTGACATCAGGTGCCTGGTTGATGAGACTTCAAAGCACAGTGGGGTATTTTAAGCAGCTCTTTGTAAAAAAAAAACAAAAAAACCCTGTGTTGCTGTTTACAAAGGTCAATCAAAGAGCCCCCATCCTGTTCCTTTGAAACTAAACAAAATGGAGGTATTAAGGAGCAGTGTACAAGGATGTGTACAAATGGTGGTCAAACAGCTCCCATAATATTGCTTCAAAGCTTTACAGACAGAGGGCTTGAGCGCACTGCTGAGAGGGGGAAGGCTCAATTGAACAGAAACTATTTCAAGCTCCCAGTTGTCCCATTTGTCCCGTTACCTGACCCACAATTGATATAATGTGGGTGGGCGTGGCTTCCCCAAGATGTCCTGGCAGGCAATGCTTGGTTTGTGGGCTGGAAATTCCCCGCTTAGATCTATCTATCTATCTATCTAATAACATGTATTTATTAATACACCACTATTCTGGCAGACCTCACAAGCTAGGCCTGTAACTTTACATTGTATGAGGTTTCTATATATCCCTCCCCTCCAGTTTGTTTGACATACAGTTGTAGTGTAACATGATTTTTTAAAAAAAACTCCTTTCAGGAAGCCTTCAAAGCTGTGGAAGACATACATGGATTGTTCTCCTTGTCCAAGAAACCACCAAAGCCCCAGCTGATGGCAAACTATTATCACAAAGTTTCTACTGTCTTCTGGAAATCAGGAAATGCGCTCTTTCATGCATCCACACTTCACCGTCTTTATCATCTCTCAAGGGAAATGCGAAAGAACCTCACGCAGGAGGAGATGCAGAGGTAGGAAAACTTTTGTTTGCGGGTGCATTTTTAAACTTAGAAATAGCATCAATAGTGTATTGCAAATGGTTGGAAGCTGGATTTAAAGCTTGTCAGTTAGGCCATTTTAGGTATGGCATCTAGAATGGAGGCTAATGCAATTCAACTGCTTAAATCTTCTGTCTGTAGGATGTCAACGAGAGTCCTTTTGGCCACTCTGTCCATTCCTATAACACCTGAACGAACTGACATTGCTCGTCTTCTAGACATGGATGGCATCATTGTTGAAAAGCAGCGGCGATTGGCAACTCTGTTGGGCCTCCAGGCCCCACCTACACGAATTTCTCTCATTAATGATATGGTAAGCAACATTTCATAAAACATTTCTATGTAGTTTGCATCCTTGATTAAAAGGAACTTTAGTAAAACTTCAGAATGATGTGAATAGTAAACAATGTGATTGAAAATTAAAAGTTTCATTTGTTACCTACTTTCTCCCTCCAGTCCCAGTTTAGCTGCAGACTACAGCAGCAACTGGAACTCTTTAGTGCTGTCCATCTACAGTGGGGCATATTTCATGACTTTGGCCTTGCTTCTCCATAAGATCTGTAAATGTGACATTCTAGGTGTTTCAGCATTTGGAGATGTATGCCCCCGTCACATTAATTGCACATGAAGAGTATGTTTCTTATCTATCACATTTTGATTATTTTTTTAAAAATTGTAGTTTAGCTAATCCTTGAGATGAAACATTAAGTGTTAAAGCTTGTTTGATATTTACCGTTAAAAACATTCATGTCTTATAGGTGAGATTTAATGTTGTACAACATGTTGTCCCAGAAGTAAAGGAACTTTATAACTGGCTTGAAGTAGATTTTCATCCACTGAAGTTATGTGGTCGCGTATGCAAGGTAAGTCCTGAAATTTTATTCAGAAGTATGTAATTTCTGTGTAGTTGACAAAATTCACACAAATGTTGATATATAGTAGATGTATGGTATTTTTAAAGTGCTTTTTGTGTCCAGGTTATTTTATGTCACTATTAATAGCATTCCAATCTGTTTCTAGAATTTCTAATGGCATGAAAATGCTGCTTGAATTTCCATTCATATAAATACTACACATTTAAAAGCAAAACCTGGTCATGCAAATGGAAAATGCCCTTTTGCAAGAGTAGGTTCCTAGTTTGTATTTTAAGTGACTAATGGATGCTTCTGATTTGAAATGTCATTGTACAGCCAGAAAACAGCATTAACTGTTGCTTGCAGTGTATTCCTGTACATGTTTACAGGGAAGTAAATCCCACAGTATTCAAGTGGACTTTTTGCCTAATACGTGTGTGCTTAAGGTTGTAGGCTTAGCTGACATATATGTAATTCTCCAGAGTTGTACAGGGTGAAGCACGTTTCATTGTCTTTCTCTTACTATTTATAAGAACAAAGATATTTCTAATGTGCTAGATAAAAGATGAAGGTAAATTAGCAGTGTGGCACACATTGTCACCACTGTCAGTCACCTTCAAACACAACTTAATACACATTGTGTTAGAAACACTTTAGTGATTGAACTAAGTAATGATTTTGTGGCCTTAAAACAGGAGGAGGTATATTGGATTAGAGAATATATTGGGTTGAAAAAGTTTAAAGACTTGCCTTAATTTTCGCTCCCTGTGTATTCCTGAGTATACCCTCCTGTGTGCATGTTGAGCCCAAAAGTCCCTAGTTTTTGGCTTTAGGCATTCCCATTTTCTTGCTAATTGGAAAAATATACCTCTTTAATATTGGAGAAGATTAGCATGTTTCTGACATGTTATGGAAGCTCTTTAAAGTGCACTTTGCTATGCAGAATTGACTAAGCTAACAGACAAACTACGAGAGAAGGACCAAACGGACTTCAAATGAGTCTGGGAACCATTTACAGTTTATTTGCAGAAACAACAGAATGGACTGGATTCACTGACAGGATTTGAATAAACTTTCACAACTTCATTGGAGTAACAGATATTTTAAAGAAATGATAAGGGATTTTATTTTTCTGTAGGAAAAGCAGGATACGATAAATAAAACTAAATAACTCAGCAGAGGGGGAGTAGAGGGAAGTCCAGAGGAGGGGAGGGAGAATAATTGTAAATAACATGATGAATGAGATTTGTATCATTAATTGTTATAAAATTCAATAAATATTAAAAAAATAATAACTACTGTGAAAAATTGGAGGGTTGATGCAATTTAGTGAGGAAAAGGTATTGTCTGAACCAGCCATGCTATCTTACAATCTCTAAACAATTCTGTATAGGTGTTGAACTGGGTAAGAGACCAATCTGAGAAGGAACCAGAACTGCAACTGTATATCCCCCATCTTCAAAATAACACCATACTCAGGCTGCTTCAGCAGGTATGATTGCAAAACAAGAATCTTCAAATTGGAATGTGCAGTTGGAGTGAATGTTGCAGAATTCCTAAATCCATCAAGATTCACCCAACTGCACAAGTGAGGAGCTTGGTTGTGACTTTTAGGGTATTCTTAATGCCATATTTGTATAAGTTTTGTTGAGCAATATGGATGGGGCACCTAAGGAGCCCCACCCACAGTAGCCCTGCTCAAGGACTTCTACTTGGTCAATGGTTTTTTCCACTCCTCTCTTCATCCTACACATTCTCCACGCTCCCTGAAACCGACTTGAGGTGGTGATGGTGAGGAGAACCACTAGAACAGCATGCAGAGGGAGGAGAGGATCATTGTAATGTTTCTGCAGATGGTATATTCATCAGAGTGCATTGTTGAATTCCACCCTATAAGTTGTGTGTTTTACTGTTTTGTTGTAATGCAAACTATCCTGGTATCTCATGACTGGCAGGATAGTGTGTGTTTTTTAAATAGAATGTTCTGTTCCTATGTATCTTTTAAGGATCACTTAGTGAAAGATATAAGGGGCATCCTTAATTTAGTTGCACCTGTATGTAGTAGATATTGGACGTGTTCCTTGATTGAACTCTGAAATCTCTTAAATTAAACCTTAATATTTGTCAGTTCCTTTTGACTAAGAGCTTATCTGTATCATAAGGAACATGGTTCTCATACACTGTTTTCTGTAATGTCTTCAAGTTCTGCCCATGTGATTAAAGCATATCATATAGGGAATATATTACACTTGTAATTCTTGTTGAATTAAGGAGACATCACTAATGTGACACATAACCATGTGGTCTGCTGTAACTTGACAAGAAGATGTAGTTACCAAAGAGTGGTGTTGGTGCAATGCCATTTTGAATAATGTATGAAACAGCACCAAAGAACCACATGCAGCAAACTACTTTTTTTCCATATGCCCTCTGGCCCTGCTCATTCAAGTGAACATGTGTAGGATGTGGGATTATTTCCATGTAGAGAACCCCCACTTCCAGTTATATTGTTTGTATAGTCACTACCAATGCACAAATATGCACAGGCTTTGTATATGTGGCCTCCTAATGGTGTTTACTATTAGTACACGTGTGTAAAGACTACACAGGTGACTGAGCATAAGTTGGGGCTGGGCTTATTGCTTGACTTCTTCTGCATGATGGCTGTCTGGATTAGGCTTCTGATGCTTAACAGAAAACACAGACAATGTTGCTGTGCTCTGAACAAGCTACAGGAGACAGAAACATTGCCTGGGTTACAGAGGTACAAGGCGTGGGTGATGGATCTACCTAGTTAAATAATAAATTCTTAACACAAGGCATTTTTAGTTTCAGTTTTCCAAATGCACATGTCATTGACCTGTTTCCTTTACAGTGGTAAGCAGTGTTATTTCTGATGTGCTAAAGGAACAGTTGAAGGCTAATTAGCAGCTTTACTCCGTTGAGAGACTGCTGCCAGTCTCCTTCACACATAGTTGCTGCTTGGGAGAGTGAGTAATTCCTTTGAATAAACGCTTGACAGAAAATGTGAAGTGTTTCTTAAATGTGAATGATTATTCACTATTGTTGATGGTTGAGCTGTTGACTTAAGTTAATTGAGCTCTTAAAAATGCTTGTACAATATTAGGATGAATAATTGGAAAGAGTTGAATATTCATGTGTTACGCAGGTGGCCCAAATTTATCAAAGCATCGAATTTTCTCGCCTGACTACTCTGGTTCCTTTTGTTGATGCTTTCCAACTGGAACGTGCAATAGTAGATGCTGCCAGACATTGTGATTTGCAAGTAAGTGCAGTAGCGAAAAACGTCAAATGTATTTAGATAAATCTGATTAAAGCTTGTTTAGTCAAACATAACAGTCACTTTTGTCTTTTGAATTCCAAAAAATGAGTTTCAGCACATTCTTCAGTGGTGGGATAACCCACTCTAGAATAACCTCTGGCCGGTGAAGAGCATGAACTTTTTCACAAGAAGTCCAACAAAATTTCCTTCACCTGTGCAACCTTGAATGGTTGGAGTGAGCAAAGATTGAGCCATACAGCAGGCTTTCCCGACTTCTCTGTACAGCTTGGTAGTAGTCCAGCTGCTCCTGACTCCTGGAACAGCATTCCCAGAACAGTGCAGAACAGAAAAGTCCAAAGAATTAGGCGGGGCTGCCATATGCAAGTGAAAGTGCTTGGCTTCTCAAGCAAGACTTCTCTGATTCCCAGTCAATATGTTTTCTTGGAAAATGGTTGACTTTTAGAATTCAAAAGCTACCTTTCTGGAAATATAGTTAGAAACTTGCAACAGTTACAGAGCAGTTACAGCTGGTGTGTGTGTGGAAACAGACAAAGGAACTGAAGCTTCTAAAGCCCTGCCAGGTTTAGGCAGAAGGAAGGGTAGAAGGAATGTCCCCCCCCCCCTCTGACTTTCTCTCTCTTATGATTTATGGAAATAAACTAAACTAGCTCCAGGGCTGACATAGTTTGTCCCTGTTCTATGGTTTTATTGGGGAAACACAATCTGTTTATACAAGGGGCACAGGGGTTTCTATGGTGACAGGGAGGGGCCTTACAAAATCTGACCTCCCTCTCCGAAGGCAGACATCTCTTTCTGCCATTGGAGAGGAAGATTTGAAAAATCCTATAGACCCTGGGACACCCATTAGTTTAGATGCATCAGTTAAATCATGGTTCTAATCATGTAGCATTGTTTCTAGTTGAAGTACTTTGAGCTTGGCAACTGCAGTTTTTATATCTTAGGAGAGGTATTCCCTCCGTGTGTAAAAGAATTGAGGATTCTGCCTCTTAGAAAATGCTTGCTTAGATACATGTGTACATAATCTAATAACATTTTTTAAAAGATTTTTTTCATCATATCACCATATGCACATGTAATTGGTTAATGAACTAGATCATATGATAATATAGCTAAGATTTCTTTAATTAAGAAGTAATTTCAGTTTTTAAGTTTATCATTTGATTTGAGTACAGTTCAGAAGTCTGTTGTATACCGTGCTGATCTCAATGTTAAATGGCAGTAACATAAGAAAAATAAGAGCTGGTTAGACAAAATTTAAAAGCGGCTGTGAGAAACTATCCTAAACATGCCCTTAATAATGAATTTCTGAATTACTCTATCTTAGGTTCGCATTGATCACACCACTCGAACACTGAGTTTTGGGTCAGATTTGAACTATTGCACTCGGGAAGATGCACCTCTTGGCCCTCAGCTGCAGAACATGCCATCTGAGCAGATCAGGAGCCAGTTGACAGCTATGTCATCTGCGCTTGCAAAGGCTCTTGAAGTGATTAAGCCACCTCACATATTGGTAAGTTGTAAGCTTTTGATACATCTTTAAAAGAATACTGATGCTTTATGGGAAACTTGGTATGTTGAGTCATGGTTTGAATATTTCTTCTCTTCCCTCCAATGCATGTTTGACTCCCCTGTTGCCTGTGTTCAAGGCACATGTCACCGCTGATGCACACTGCTTTCAGCCCTGGAAGAGTGCAGGGTGGGTTTACACTCTCGGTGCCTCGGAACACACACCGTGTACATGGGGAGTTGCCTGTACTTACATGCATTACTTAAAAATATTTAGTGCTGGCATATTTATTCTAACACAGTGGTACCTTGGGTTACATACGCTTCAGGTTACATATGCTTCAGGTTACAGCCTCCGCTAACCCAGAAATAGTGCTTCAGGTTAAGAACTTTGCTTCAGGATGAGAACAGAAATTGTGCTCCGGCGGCAGCAGGAGGCCCCATTAGCTAAAGTGGTGCTTCAGGTTAAGAACAGTTTCAGGTTAAGAACGGACCTCCGGAACGAATTAAGTACTTAACCCGAGGTACCACTGTACATATGTTTTTGAAGAATCTGTTCTGAGATGGCAGTGGGGGAAAAACACAAAAGAACCTGCATTAATAATTCCTCAGAATTCAGCAGTGCTTTACTCTCCCATTTGTATTTTGTATTTAAATGGGTTTTTGTTGTTCTGCCTTTAACCATTTTGCAGCTAGAGAAGGAAGAGCAACACCAGCTGGCTGTTACAGCTTATTTAAAAAATTCAAGGAAAGAACATCAGCGTATCCTTGCTCGCCGTCAGACTATTGAGGAAAGAAAGGAACGTCTTGAGAGCTTGAACATTCAGCGTGAAAAAGAAGAGTTGGAGCAGCGTGAAGCGGAACTCCAAAAGGTCCGCAAAGCCGAAGAGGAGAGATTGCGTCAGGAGGCGAAAGAGCGGGAAAAGGAGCGCATTCTGCAGGAACATGAGCAAATTAAAAAGAAAACTGTTCGTGAACGTTTGGAGCAGATCAAGAAAACTGAGCTGGGAGCCAAGGCCTTCAAAGATATTGATATTGAAGTAAGAAGCTTGTTGTTTCCCCCTGACAACTTGTTTATTGTAACCACTAGTGACCATTCACTAATGGGAAGTTTATATTGTAGAAAATATTGTATATTTTGTTAGACTTTTAGTCCATTTCTACATTCTTCAGGAAGACAGAAACCCCATTTGAATACCCTACCAGTAGCATCTCCAACTTCCCTCAACTAGGTTTCCTAACCTTAATCAAACAGCTTGATTACAAATAATGTAGTCTATTTCAGGGGACCCCTGACCGTTAGGTCCAGTTGTGATCTACTCTGGGGTTGCGGCACTCATCTCGCTTCATTGGCTGAGGGAGCCTGCGTACAGCTTTCGGGTCATGTGGCCAGCATGACCAAGCAGCTTCTGGCGAACCAGAGCCAGCATTCTGATTTGGCAAGTCCTAGGCTCTGTGGTTTAACCCACAGCACCACCCGCGTCCCTTATTTCTGAATATTAGAATATTTTAATAAAATGGATTAAAGGACTAAAAATAAAATAATATAGTAGATAATGCATCAAGTGGGGAAGCTGTATTAAAATTAAAAACAAGAATGTGTGTTTTTCTCAGAAATGGCAGTTTGATTTTTATTCTTTAACATCTAATGTCTTGACTATAGGATCTTGAAGAATTGGATCCAGACTTCATTATGGCAAAACAAGTTGAACAGCTGGAGAAAGAGAAGAAGGAATTGCAAGAGCGTCTGAAGAATCAGGAGAAAAAGGTATAAGAAAAAGATGTACGGTTAATAGCTGAGAACTAGGTGGAGAAACAGCATTTATTGATGACATTTGTGTGTGTGCTCCTTTTATGCTTTAACCTGAACAATCACATTTCTTTAGATTGACCATTTTGAAAGGGCAAAACGCTTGGAAGAAATCCCACTGATTAAGAGTGCATATGAAGAGCAAAGAGTCAGAGACATGGAGCTTTGGGAACAGCAAGAAGAAGAAAGGGTGAGGTTTCTGAGAGTACTCTGGTGTGACGTAGTTACTTGATATTTTTTCTCTGTTAGTTTCTAGAAATGAACTTCTCAGCTGATTATATAGTTTATGCAGTAGTAGACAGTGTTTTAGAAATCTTTGTCACATGAGTGATGAAGAATGAATGATGTTTGGATATATTGCAATTAAAGAATTTCAGTCTGTGCTAGAACTCCAATTTTGCCATAAAAGAATTCAGATCTTCTGACTGGAATAAATTGTGTAGCTACACCAAGTTCTAATGTAAATCATTAGAATGCTTTGCAGCTTGCAATTGTGTAATAGTTAGAATCTGTTTGGGAACAATGAAAGCCATCATTTTAACTGTAATAAAAGTGATCATAGGGTTTATATAGGCTTAGTACCCAAGCTCTTTTTCCGTATACCATTGCTTAACAATAATAGGCCTACTGCGGTTTTCCTTTAAGTGGTCTGCTAAATTTTATTGGCATCTAGACAGTTAAAAAAAAAAAGAGGCATGTGGTGCCCATAAATTCACAAAAGACATTTGAAACAAATTGTATGCATCACTCTACTACTGATTTGGTTTTATGTATGTCACAGATCTCAACTATGCAGTTGGAACGCGAGAAAGCCCTTGAACATAAGAACAGGATGTCAAGGATGTTGGAGGACAGTGATTTCTTTGTAACTAGGCTCAAAGAAGCGAGAAGATCAGTGTATGAGGTAAATCTGATTTTTGTGTTCTGACACATATGAGATTACTCCTGATCAGAACTTTATAGAAAATGGAGTGAGGGATGGCACTGGTATCCTCTCTCCTTTGTCATTTTAGCATGTTAGTGTCTGTGCCTGTTTTGATATGAGAGGCAACAATATTACGCTTCGCCTCAGCAGAGAGGTGTCCTTTCTGATAAAATAATCTCATATAAAAAGCTTTATGTGTATCTTCCTCTTTGTTTATTTCATTTGTATCCTCCCCTTCCTCCAAAGACATCGGAGAATTCTCCCATTTTATAAGTTGTTTCTAAACTTCTCAAAACAGTTGTTTTACATCTCTGCTATTAATGTGGATTCCAGAACTGTTTAGAATCATAGAGTTGGAAGGAACCCAAGGGTTATCTAGTCCAACCCCCTGCAATGCAGGGATCTCAGCTAAAGCATCCATGACAGATGACCATCCAACCTCTACTTAAAACCTTCAAGGAAGGAGAGTCCACAACCTCCCAATGGAAACTGTTCCACTGTCGAACAGCTCTTACTGTCAGAAGGTTTTAACATAGGTTTAGTCTGAATCTCCTTTCTTGTAAGTTGAAGCCATTGGTTTGAGTCCTACCTTCCAGAGCAAGAGAAAACAAGCTTGTTCCATCTTCCATGTGACAGCCCTTTAAATATTTGAAGATGGCTATCATATCTCCTCTTAGTCTCTTTTCTGGGTTAACTATACACTGTTGACTCATGTTAAGCTTGTGGTCCTCCAGGACCCCTAGATCCTTTTCACATGTAAGCCAGGTGTCCCCCATCCTATATTTGTGCATCTGGTTCTTCGTGCCTAAGTGCAGAACCTTACATTTGTTCCTATTGAAATTCATTTTGTTAGCTTGTGCCCAGTTAGTCCAATCTGTTAAGGTAATTTTGAATTTTGATTCTGTCTTCTGCGGCATTATCTACCCTTCCCAGTTTCATGTCATCTACAGATTTGATGAGCATCCCTTCAATTCCTTCATCCAAGTTGCTTAGAAAGACATTGAGCAACGGGCCTAAGAGTTGACTTTATGTATAGCTGCCAAGCTACAATTAGTCATTAACACTTGTGGACACCAGATAGTTGGAGTTCATGTTTGAGCATTCATCCTGTAGGTTGCCTGTAACATGGAGTTCAATGTATTAATATGTATTTTAGGAAAAACTTAAACAATTCCAAGAAAGATTAGCAGAGGAAAGGCATAAGCGCTTAGAGGAACGCAAAAGGCAGCGCAAAGAGGAAAGACGCATTGCTTATTATCAGGAGAAAGAGGAAGAAGAACAAAGATTGCAAGAAGAGAAGATGCTTAAAGGTAAACACTAAATAAAAGGCTATTGCTGAAAAAGCACCCTTGATCTTTGCTGTGTTTCCAGCAGTATTTATTTTACTTATCTAGATATAGATGTGCCATGGCTGCCATTAAATGAATTTGAATTTCATTACTCGTAAAATAATAATAGGTAATATTCAGTGTTGTCCGTCCACTAGCAGAATAGACATTGTTTGTGGAATAGATTCCCTCTACTAGGCCCACCCAATATGATCTGGAGAGTTTGGAGACGGCATGGGGGGCTGTGGGACAGGAAAGAAAAATGAATTCTCATCATACGACCAGAAGTCTGCTTGCACAACATTGGCCCATTAAATTTTAAGCAGACATGAAATGCTGTGCAAACAAAATTGGTAAATGAGAGGACATATGATAGACATTTCGAATATAGGATGGAAAGTCACTCTATCTGCATTAATATTTTGGGCAGAACAAGAAGAAAAAGAACGTGCAGAACGTGAAAAACGTGAGGAAGAAATGCGTGAATATCAGGAACGCGTCAAAAAACTAGAAGAGGTAGAGAGAAAGAAACGCCAAAGAGAACTGGAGATTGAAGAAAGGGAACGTCGTCGAGAAGAAGAGAGGAGGAATCTTGAAGATCCGCTTTCAAGGAAGGTAAATTCTATTTCTGATAAACTGACGTTTCTAAGCAGAATCCAGCGTTGCCTGAGCAGAAGTCCTGTGCAAACAACAGGACTTCACTTCTCTCTTTTCCCCTCCGCACACCGCCACAAGTCTGCAAAATCATCTGTGGAGAGTCCCTCAATCCTTTGAAGTATATTTTGAAATGTGGAGGCCTGCTGGGTGGGGGGAGGACAGGAAGGTGAAGTCTGTTGCATGAGGAGAGTTTTGTTCTGCTTCTGCACAGATAGCGCTGGATATAACCCTCCAAATTCCTCTATTCTTAAATAGAGAATAATTTACATCAAAAAAAAGTATATGTGAAAGAACTCTTCAAATTCAAGAATTCATATTTAAGAAGGAAGCTTTCAACGTACAGCTTTTGAGTGGACTTCAGTTTTGTGCCTTGGTGCTATGGAAGAGAAAGTGATTCCACCTTCTTGCAGCTTTCTATGGCACCTTCCAGTATGTTCTGGAGGGTCCCCTGACTCACTGCAGCTGAATTTAGCAAGTGCTGGGAGGCTACCAGGGTTGGGGGGGTGTATCCGAAAAAAATCGGTCCCCTTTTCTGTTAGCAGATGCACAAGGGCACCAATAAATTAACTGTCAACTGGCCTTTTAGTATCTCTGTGATCAAATGATGACTATGAAATAATGTAGTATGAAGTTGATCAGGAGGGGGAAGAAGGATCAGGATCTGTTGGTTGGTGTTTGAGTAGTTTGCAATAGATCGAGTTTTTGACCACTGTTTGTCTTAACAATAGCAGCAGCTTAAAAGTTTATTTTACCTAAATTAGCTGGCTGAGAAAGAATGCCCAAGGATGTGGTGGAAAACAGGAGTGGATTCTTATATGAAGAGATTCCCAAGCTTTCTTCTGTTACTTATCAAAAAAATCTGGGATAAGCATGTACTCAGAGACAGTCTATTCCTTAAATCTTTTTGTATGTCTGCCCAGTTGAGCCACTATTTTGCACCAGTCTCTAGTTGGCGGAACTTGTGGTATTACAGTCATCCTCGTGTTGTGTTTGCTTCGGGTTGATTGTTTTCAGGTCCCAGGGCGACCCAGAAGTACCAGAAAGGGTTACGCGTATGCGGGTTTCGCATATGCGCAGACGCTCAAAATGACACCACGTGCATGCGCAGAAGCAGCGAATCACAACCTGTGCAGACGTGGGTTGCGTTCTGCTCAGGTTGCGAATGTGGCTCCGGAACGGATCCCATTCACAACCAGAGGTACCACTGTAGTAAAAAAAAAAAAAAAACAAAGTAGAAGAGCCTGCATGCTTGAAATCTTCCCACTGCTCAACTACAAAGAGTGTTTCCAGAGCTGTAGCATGTTGGTTTGTTGCAGCAAAGTGAACTCTGGTCTACAAAAGCTCGTGTCATAATCAGTTCATTAGCCTTTATGGTGCCCCAGGAGTCTTCATTGTTTTTGTCTTAAGTATTGCTTTATATTAATATTGTCTTCGGCTCAATCATTGGTAATCTTTTCAATGGGTAAACTTTGCACCAGAAAATACATGCATTTTGAAATTTTATAATGGTGAAAATGTGTGTATTAATTTGGATAATCTGCAGCCCTAGTAATTTCTCATTCTTACTCTATTCGTAATTTTTCTAGTGGAGTATTAGAGCTGATCCTCAATTTACATATTGTAGTTGTCATGTCTGAAGGGTCCATTTGTATGTGAAATTTGGGGTCTATTCCTTTTCTCCTGCTTTTGAGGAGTAGGAAAAATGACAGAAGACGTTGCTGCCTTTTTTGAATGGATTGACTATTGTTTCCAGTTCACTTCTGTCATTTCTTCCTCTGCCATATTTTATTCTAATTTGAACTGTCATCGCCTTAGCTGTTCATTTGCTATGCTCTACAAAACATAGTGGTGGTTTCTCTTGTGGCTACATTTTGCATTTGTATGCCATTTCTCAAGTTAGTATTCAGTACTGAACATGTCACTCAGAGATATGTGAATAATTCTTATTAATAACTGAGCAATTTGTTTGGGTCATGTTGGGACAATTTTACTACCTATTCCCCATCCCCTTTGTTGAGTTGTAACTAATAGTTCAGGTCCAGTATAATGCAGTACTTTGCACTTGTCCATGCTGAATATCCATCCATATATTTGTCACATGAGGTCTCATTAAATTTGTAATGCCACAGAATTCAATATATACTTTTGTTTTTAATAACTAGTCAAAAAACAAGTTTCACTGACAGATTAGTTCATAGGTTCTCAGTTTGTTATTACAAGTCAAAATAATGTCATGCCTATACTATTCTATTGAAATAAAAGCATGTGATATATACAAAACCACATTGGTTGGGTTATTAGTAACGGTACTTTTTATTTTTGATTTAAATGTAGGACTCTCGTTGGAGTGATCGAGAACCTGGTGAAAGCACCTGGAGAAGAAGTGCTGAGCCAGACTCAGAATGGAGGCGACCAGCACCACCAGAAAGGTATTTATTGGAATAATGCTTAAAGTGTCTACAACTTCTTAATGTTTCCTTTGTGATCCTGATGTCCTCTGCAAAGGTGAGTATTGTTGTAGACTGCGTACAAATAAAATGGGTTGTATCCAACTAAATCATTGCATGCACAGAATGCAATAAAATTGCATTAGAATAGCAAAATGACTTAATTGTTTATTTTGACAATTTATACACAGTTTAATGCAATAGTCTCTAAGGAGTGTACAAGGTTGATTTAATAAAGATAACTATCTGTTAAAAGGATAAAATCAGAATTCTAGAATAAAGTCTTCAGTACATGCTGGACATTCAACAGGCAGAGGGCCAATCTGAACTTAACTGGACGGGAGTTCTATAAAATTGGGTCCACAGTATTGAATGTACATCTCCTGGTGGATGCAAGTTGTGTGTCTAAGCCATGAGGGGATACTAACAGTGACTCACCTGAAGACCTCAGGGATTAGGCAGTCCCTAAATATCCTTGATCCAAGTTGTTAAGGGCTTTGCAAATTAATACAAGAACCTGTATTACATTGAGAAAGCAACCAGCCATTTAAATGAGAACCTTAGGTCTGCAGTTTTTCACCCCAAGTGAAGATTTGGCCTCTTAACCTTTCTCCAATTCATTTGGTTATCAAACAGAATTTATAAGTTCAATGACGTATACTAATTTCTTACGTTTCCTAGCATACGTAGACTTTTGGATAAAAGTTTGTAAGTTCCCGGCTAAAGTTGGAAGAGAGCACCTGAAATATAGTTGGATAGGCAGCAGCAAGGAAAGAAAAAAGATTATTTGTACATCTTTTACATTGATCAGAACTCTAACAGAATTGTCTATTTTTTAATATTTCAGCAATATCCATGCATCCTGACATTTCCTTTGAAACATTTCAACAGTGGGCAGTCCCTAGTGAAGTAGTTTTGTTAGTGCAAGGACTTCCTATCCCTGTACCTCCCAACAGCCCCCTCCCCCAAATGGTGGGTTGACAAGAAACCCAGAATAGATGTAGGGTGCACAGGGGAAGAAGAGGGAGGGGAAGTCCTGTTGCGCAGCCAGAAGTACTTGTGCCAACAGAACTACTTTGCTGGATAAAGCTCTCTTTTTATAATTATCCATCCCTTGTGACACCATTGTTCTTTAGTATCTTGTTACATATGATGTTTTATTTATCCTCACCACTCCAAAATGTCAAGCTGACTACTCACAGGTTGTATGTTATTTCCTACATGGAACAGATTTCTTTATGGGAAATAACATGTGATGTGGTGTAATTAGTACTACTGTGTAGGAGTAAATATACCAAGTGGCTTTCCAGACAACTGAAAACAAAACTTTTATATTCAAAATGCACAATTTTTCTATTTAAACAGAGAGTGGCGGCGTGGAGACGCACGTGAGGATGAAAAACCTTTACGAAGAGATGATTTGCCTCGGCGTGGTATCTCAGCAGACAGAGTAGAGTCTCCTCGTGAAGCACTAGACGACAAAGTGCCGAAGCAGGATGCTGATGAAGACAAAGGTCCTAAGAAAGTTCTGGATGATGACAGAACAAGTTGGCGCTCAGCAGAAGAGAAGGGCCCCATGCGTGGCTTAGATGATGACAGGGGCCCCAGGCGCGGGCTGGATGACGATAGGGGCCCCAGGCGCGGGCTTGATGATGACAGGGGCCCCAGGCGTGGTCTGGATGATGACAGGGGCCCCAGGCGCGGGCTGGATGATGACAGGGGCCCCAGGCGTGGTCTGGATGATGACAGGGGCCCCAGGCGCGGGCTGGATGACGACAGGGGCCCCAGGCGTGGGCTGGATGATGACAGGCCAAGTTGGCGCAACACAGATGATGACAGGGGCCCCAGGCGTGGTCTGGATGATGACAGGGGCCCCAGGCGTGGTCTGGATGATGACAGGGGTCCCAGGCGTGGGCTGGATGAAGACAGGGGCCCCCGGCGTGGGCTGGATGATGACAGGGGCCCCAGGCGGGGTTTGGATGATGACAGAGGCCCTAGGCGGGGTTTGGATGATGACAGACCAAGTTGGAGAGCTGCAGATGAAGATAGGCCTCCCCGGCGTGGTCTGGATGATGACAGAATGTCAAGGCGTGATGAAGATAGGGGACCATGGCGTAACACAGATGAAGATAGAATTTCAAGGCGTGATGATGATCGTGGACCTAGACGTGCTGGTGATGATGACAGAGGTCCTAGACGTGGAGATGATGCTAGGCGTGGAGAGGATTCCAGAACTGGACCTTGGAGACCATATGGGAAACCGGGTAAACATACAAATTGGAGCCATTCATTTTGTGTTCTGAGAATAGCTAGCATACATTCTGTTTTAAGTTTGCACAGAAAACGCTTTGCATTCTGAGATGACTGCAGCAAACTGAAAAGTACCTCATAATGTTTCTGTTGAACATTGTCTGGAAAGTAATGTCGGTAATATAAGAATCTAAAGGGTTACATATTTGCAAGTCAAAAGCCAACAAGTGCCAAAAGGGCATAGACATTATATCCATTTGTTTGCACTTCTTTACATTGTTGCCACTGCAGTGTAAAAAATTTGATTCCTTTGCTGATTAATTGAAGGTATCCCAAAGTGCAGTTCTTGTACTTTGATTGCTAGATACATTTAAACAAATGACTAAAAAATGGAGATGATCTAATGGGTAACACTGGTTCCAGAATTAGTTGGGTGCAAGTATACTGGATAATTACAAGGAAAAAACCACATTCTCGTTTCCTTATTCAAAGAAATCATAATAAAGCACATGTAAACATGAAACAAGTTATTCCACATTGTATTCCATTTATGCCAGATGTATTCCCATCTCAGATATCCATAATAGAATGGGATTTTGCATGTGGAAACCTCAGTTGTGGTGTGGAATCATAAGAAATAGAATACAAACTCCTTGCTTGCATGCATGCATGCATGCATGAATCTTTATTTGTGTCAGCTATCAGCCATAGCAATAAAACAACAATACAATATACAAAGAATAGAAATAAAAAGTCAATTATATAAAATGCATGAATGGAAGCTCCACATTCTTACACTATTGAGAGTAGTACACCTAAGTTCAGATATTTCGCTGTCAATAGGTGGTTGGAGAGAACGAGAAAAGGCTCGTGAAGATAGTTGGGGCCCTCCACGAGATTCCAGACCTTCAGAAGATAATGAATGGGATAAAGATCGTGATGAGAATGAGAAGGATCGTGAACTTGACAAGGACCGTGACTTTGATCGGGAAGATCGTTTCAGGCGTCCTAGGTTTGATTTCATTACTTTTAAATTGTGTGTAGCTTGGGTTTCTCCTCCCCAACCCTTATGAACTGGGGTAAGGCCCCACCACAAAAATCTTTGGGATATTGGGCATCACAGTTTGGGGCACGTGAACAATTTTGAAGTGGTAGTAAGTAGCCAAAAGCAGAGTTGTTGTTTTTTGTTATTTTGATGAGTTTTATGTCACCAAAATGTGCACTTGAGTGCTACGAGCATTAGCTGGAGAATAGTTTGCAATGTTTTTACCCACAAATGTTTACAAATGCTTGTTTCTTGGAAAAAATGATTTTGAATAGTGCTTTAAAAAAAAAAAGTTTTGTTTTGTTCCAGTAACAGTTTGCATAAGAGTAGCTTCTGGGTCGTATGGTTGATTTTAATTCATTCCCTGGAATGTGGAGTTAAATGCTTTTTCTTATTACTAAAATACATTTTTATAACTAAAGAGATGACGCTGGCTGGAGAAGAGGACCAGCTGAGGAAACCTCTAGCTGGAGAGAGTCAGGCCGTCGTGATGAATGGGACAGAGGTGGCCGTGATTCTAGAGATGACCGGGGTGGCCGTGATCTTCGAGATCGGCGTGTTGAAGACAGGGAAAGGAGAGGGCCAGTGCCCCTTCCCAGAACAGATCGGGAAGAAGGTAGACTTGTTTTCTGTAGTTGGGTACCCTAAATACAGCTCCCTTTCAGGAAAACACAAAGGAAGCACACTTACAGTATATATCATTGCATAATTGTGCAAATAGGGTCACACTTGAGAACACTTAAATATATTTTTTTTAAAGAAATGAAATTTGATGGTGTAGCAAGATATGATTTAAACAGGTAAATACAAAAGCCGTATCACTTCTAAAATGTTTTTTGTACTTAAAAGACTTGCAAAGTATTTGCCCCTTAGCTTTGAACATTGTTGGTTACAATAAGTATTTTTTTTCTATTCTGGGTCTTCAGATCCATAGCTTATCAGTTAATCAGATCACCTATAAATCATGTTAACTTCTCATTCCAAAGCTATGTGGAAAGATTCATACAAGATCCCTCCGCCTTTTCTTTTTTAAAAAAGTTCTATTTTTGGACATTCTCATCACAAGTTTATGGGTGTCTTGCGAATTGCTATAAAGCTGTTTTGGATGGCCTGGATTCCAATGTCATCAAACTTTTTCTCTGAATTTGATAATAGTAAAACATAGTGAAGGAAGCATAGCCATGATACTGTCTTTCCCCCATGTAGTGAGCTCATGGAGACGTGGCGATGACAAAAAGGAGGAGCACGAAGAACGGGAAATTGTTCGGAGACCACCTGCTGCTGCTCCAGCTCCCTCTGTGTCAAAAGAACGAGAAAAAGATGGTGAGAAAGAGAAGGGGGCCTGGAGAACAGAAAAAGACCGGGACTCCCTTCGCCGCACTAAACTTGAAGCTGATGAAGATGGGTGGACCACTGTGCGACGTTAAGTTCAAAACCTAAACATGGTTTTTATGTTGGTGTTTAGCATTGATTGGTAACAAATTATAATATTGGTGCTTTAACACTCTGAATTGGAATTCTTTTAACAAAATTTTCTAGGTAATGTGAAAGCATGAAACTCTTACACGTGTGAAAACTGATCATGCACAGAACTTGCAACTAAAAGTCAGAAATTGAATACTGGTTACCTGAAATTTCAAATGTTGTATATGTCACAGATCACTTGGTGGTAAGAAATAAAAAATATGAACCCAGTAGGTATCTTTGAGTGGCATGTATATCTCAATCAAAAAGAAATCAATTTTTATTTTAAGTAGCTCTTCACCTGGAAAATCGGTATGGTCTGCAAAGTGTACATTTAAAACAACATTTCTAGTTACATGAAGTGATGGCTTTGTAAGACTACTGCCTAAAATAGATATAAGCAAACACTTTCTATTTGGGTATTTTGATGGCAAGAGGTGTTTTTTTCTGATGGTATTATACAAAGTCAGTATGTTTTGAGTTGCATACGATAAATGTTATGGACCTTTTAGCCACACTGGGGTTTTTTTGGGTAGATTTTTCTTGAATGCATATACTTATCAAGCCATTTTGCAGTCTTTGTTCTCACAGTGAATGCCAGCACAGCAGTCTCAAAACAACAAATAAGGCTTTTAAAATGAAAGCGTTTGAGAACAATCATACTGCTGAAGTTTCTGACCCTTGGCATATAGACTTTGCTTTTTCTGTTCATGGATAATTCATGCCTTTTGAAGCATTTATATATAGTATCCTATTTCAAGTATGTGGTCTGGAGGAACTGCTCACTCTTCCCTTCCTTCCTTCCCAATTTCTTGTCTTCTGGGTAAGTGCTTTACCTTAAACCAAGTGCTTTGTAGTATGGGCTGGGTTGACTTCAATTTTGAGGGCAAAGTAGTAATGTTTATGATTGTTTTTAATTGAAGCCAACACAGAACTTGCTACTATGTGTTAACTTCAGTGATAAATAAACTTAACAAAATAAGGTGCTTTTTTTGGTGTGGCTTCTTAATCGTTGCAGCTTGTGCACTCAGTCTGCCTAGAGTCGAGGTCCTTTCACCATACTGGTGAAACGATTCAACACACATGACTTGCAGAAGCTGAGATGTAAAAGCATCATATCAAACCTTTGGGCTCCATCCAAAGGATCAGATCGCTATTTTAATACTTGAGTGAATCTCTCCCAAAAAATGCTCAAGTATAAAATGTAGGCAATTTCCATGCCCTGATTTCAATCATGTTTTGAAATGATAGGTTCACTTGCTTGTTTTGTAGAAGAAAAGTTGAATCACCTGCATGATGTGTTTTGAGAAAGGAGTTTGGAATTGGATTAAGCCAGAGGTGGAGAAACATTCTTTAGCCCAAAGACTACATTTCCTTCCTAGGACTGTATGGCAGTGATGGGCAGGACTTAAGCCACATGCAGACTTATGAATATACCATTCACACACTTGTCCATAACCCATCCCGGCTCCCTAGTGAGCTATTTCTTTTACAAAATAGCTCAAATCCTGTAGCCTTACTCAACTTCCCCTCCACCTCAACAAAGAGAATAAAGAAGTTCATTTCTCTTTGGCTTTTTTACTTGATTTTTAATTCCTTCTCTCCCCCTACAGATTGTGGTTCAATTTCTGAGTGACTACAAAGAGTTTCAAACCATTTTTGCCATTTTCTGCTAGTCCCCTCCATGTTTTCTCAGTCTGCTCTCTCTTCCTGTTGCCTTTTCCTGCTGGCCACCTCCACTTTCAGCCAGATCCCTACGTGTTATGTTCTTCACACTTCTCACACAATTAGGAAGAGGAACAGGCAGAACAATGAACCTTTAATGATCAGACAGGAGGCAAAAAGTTCCCAGCTGTAGCTTGATTGAAGAACAGCAGTAGGGCCTTCTGGAAAAGGGTTGTGGCTCTGTGGGCCTGAACAAGTCAAGCAGTTCCTTTGCAGATATTTTTCTGTTCCCTTGTTTTTAGATTGCTAAACAAGTTTAGACATGGTGTAGTTAAATAGAAGACACCGGGAAACTCCTTTCCCTTATTTTTCCAGTCAGTTTCTCATTTTCTGCATTCCTAAAACAGAATTCTTCTCCCATAGTTTATATGAAGGTGTGGGGGCAGAGGGAAATACGGGCAATTCAAGATGCAGACACTTGTTTCAACTAGGGGCTTGCAATGACAAGATTTGCCTTGTAGCTTGTACCATTTGTGCCTTCCAATTCATTATTCAGATCTGCATCTGATCAGTTAAATCTGAAGCTCTGTTTCATCCCTATTGACTAAGTGGGAAACTAGAAATGGCTAAAACACTTCCTTTTCACCTTTGGTAAGAAACTTCCTAAACAAACCTTCCAAAGCTCAGGCAAATCATTCCATGGGCTATTGCATGAGGTGATCTTACCTTTGCTATATTTACTTTATTAGATCTAAGGGTGGTCCACAACATAAAATTGCAATATAAAAACAACGGAATATAAAAAAAACGGAATTCTTTCTTGAAGAAAAAAGCTTACTTTTAATTTTTAGGAAAAAGAACACTTGAGAAAAAAAGCAGGCCACACAATTCCTCTAGTTTACTGGTTCTGCTCTGCTCTCACACTCAGAAAATAGACTGGAGTGCGCTGCAAAAATAATTCACTGATTAAATGCTAGACCTGTCTGTCAAAACGAAGTATCACCTTCCCCAATCCAGCCTGGTTTTGCTACTCAGAAATGAGAAAAAAAAAACCTCACGCATTTAATTATTTTTTGGAGGGGGGAGGGAACAAGGACAATGAAGCTACTAAAAAAGTTGGGGACTTCCTGATCTGCTCACGTGTATCTGTCCTGAACCACTGGCTTTGCCTTGTTTGAAGGTACACAGACCTGATGCACATTTAATGTAGTTTAAACCATACAGTTACACACACAGAGAGAGAACAGGTGAAATTCTTAGGAATGAAAACGGCAGCTTGAGACGTAGTCCTTAATACTGTCATTTATTTAGACACTGAAATTGTTTCAGGGTTTTATCCAGTACTCCATGTACACAGTTCTGCTGGTGCAATGGGACTTGAGTTTCTTCTTTCCTGTGCTTCTCCCCCATCTGCTCTGGACCACCCCCAACTGTCCAGAGCTAGTTTTGAGGGCACACAGGGCTGGAAAAGAAGTGACACTCAATTGCACGCAGAATTAACTGCATTAGCAAAGCAGCAGTGTTGGATTTGGCCCATGAAGTGCATAACCTACAAGATATTGGGTTACTTCTCTCTACAACCTTTTAATACACTCGCCACAGAAAGGGTCTAGTAGCTGAATAATAGTTTTTGCTGAGATAAACACATCAGTAGTAGTACAACTGGCATGGTTCCTCAAGCATCTTAACTTGCAAGTGAGAACTCTGGTGTTTTGCTCATATCCTAAAGATTGGTCAAATATCCATGCACAGTTCCAATGTTTCAATGCGAAGTGACAAAACCCCAAAGAAGGCACAAAAACCAGAAGGAATGCAAGAGGGAGAAACATGTTCTCAGAAGTACCAGCTGAATGTAACAACCATCCTATAGCCACTTGACCTCATAGTCATTGTCAGAGCACAGTAGCTATAGGAAAAAACCTTTTAAGACCTGTGGACCTTCCCACTAGGTGTGTTGGTAGCAACCACTTTTATTTTCTTCAGAATAAAATTATTCTGATGGTACACTACACATTCAACTCTTACTGACAATAGATACTTTAGGTATTTGCATACGAGTCAGAATGATAGTTAAGAGTCAACTCAAAGCAGGAGCAATAAATTTGCTTAAAGCAAATTTCTAGGTTGCATTTCCCCTGCCCAGCATACAATTATCAGGAATTTCTTCAAACTAGAACACAGCTTGCAAGTTCTACTAGCCACATCCTTCAGTCCCTGTCTTCTTGGTCTCTTCTTGCCCCACAAAACGTAAGTCTTCATATGCCAATTCTCCAGAATGTAAGCTGGTTTGTTTAATGCATGGCTAGAAAACCAGCCCTCCAGCTCTTGACTATAACTTCCATCATCATTGGCTCTGCTGGCTGGGCCCAATGGAGTCTAGCAACATCCAAGGGCAACAGCTTCCCCAGCCCTGGCAAATGTATTTGACCTCCACAGGTCAGCAGGCCCAGAGCCCCGTGTCACTTTTACTAAAGCTACAATTCTATGCATCACTACATGAGAGTAAGCCCTCTTGAATTTAAAGGGGCTTATTTTCCTGCAAACGCAGCTTAGGACTACACTACATCTTTTTTTTAAAGCACCTTTTCCCTTAGGTTCTAATCCCATGCTAGTGCATCTATTATTTTAGAGGTGCAAATACTCTCAACCACATGCCTCAACAAGTGTATTTTTAAAACAGCTTCTGGGATTTCTTATTTGCATAAAGTAGGAAAGTCCTTTTAAAAACAGCAACTCATTCCCTAGATCTGAAAGGTGAATGGAACCTTACATCAAGTAAAATAATATGGGAAGTGGGAAAAGGCAAGAAAGCAGCTTAACAAAATGAAAGTTAATGAATTTGCATTGCATGCAGTGGTGCTGACACAGGATTCTGATCTACCAGTGGCTTCTACTAGTGGAAATGGGCAAAGCATTGCAATTTCCAGATATTCACCCATCTGCAGCCCCCTCTCCCAATCTTCTCAAGAGCACTGTGAGACCCTTTGTGTGGTCGGTGGGGCAGCGGACTAAGGGAAAATTGGCAACTGCCACCCCTTCCTTTGACTCTTGGGAACTTTTACAGGATCAAAGAGCCTTCCATCAAAAGGAGACACAACTAGATGCAACCCACTCTCCTTTTGCATTTGCCCTACACATGCTCTGGCCCCTTTAACTTCCTTAGTCCAGCTCATACTGTGAGCTTTCAACATCCTCTAATCTTGGTTGCTTTTGCAAAAAGTACTCAAAGCCTAGCATTTTCTCTTCAAGGGAATAAACCCATGTTTAGTTGTCACCTCTCCATTTAAAAACAAAACAAAACAAAACATTCCACACTGCAAAACAGAAAATATTAGGCTTGTTCAATTTAAAGGCAGACCTACAATACATTTTAGAATCCTCATCAGACTCTGTGAACTTTTAAGAAAACATGCAAGTGTACTTCGAATGTTGCTTGAGTGTGCACAGAATTTTAAGCCCACAAAGGCATTCATCTATACACCAAGAACTAGGTTGCTGTCCATTTTGTCAGAAAATGTGTTCTGGAAGGTTCTGCACACCGTGGCTTCCAGACACATTCAATCAGGGCAAACAGCTTAGGAGCTAATTATCTCTGGGACTATCATCTTGTGGGGTTTCCGCTGCCACTCCAAATCTTCAAACGAGGCTCTGCTTTCAATACCATTTTATACAGTGCCTAGATTCATCTCCACCTGTTGCAGCCAGGGCCTTGTCAGGAAAAACAACCCACTTCCTGCAGAAATTTTAAGAACTTTTCAGAGTGTCTTTCGACATTCCAAATGAGATTCGTAGCTATGCTCCACTGCAAATGCTGTCCCTCAGACGTTGCTGTTTTAGGCTGCTGTCTGACACTCTGGGAGAAGGTTTCAGGGATCATAGTAGAGATTGCATCTACCCCTCCCTTTCACACACTTTGGAGACTGAATGTCAATTTGGGAGAGGGAGATTTGACACTGGGATATCCAACAGGGATGGCTCTTACAGCCCAACATGTAAAAAGCATGAGGAAGGGGGCGTGCCAGGAAGCAGCTGAGATTAGAAGCTCTGCATGTCTCATGCCCTCAAGCCAGCAGGAGGGGGAACTGACATGTTTCTGCATGCGTCTAAATAAATCTCTCTGGAATAATAATGAAAGGCATTTAAAAAGAAAGAAACCCAGAAATAGAGGAACGCAGACAATTCTTCCACTGTCACTCCATCACTGCTGGCAGAGTACTGGATAGGTGGTTTAAAGGTACCATCATGCTTTGCTGCTAGGCAGCGATGGAATATAGTCTTGCTGGTTTTAGTGTCAATTTTAAACTGACAGGTTTGTAGCAACCTATTGAGGATTTGTTGAACTGCTATATTCATCTGAATAGCAGCACATAGGTTTCTTAAAATAAAATACACATGCTGTTTAGACATGATGCTGTACAACATTGTAAACATTGGGAGAACTAAAATAATAGGAAACAGACCTACTAGGAGGCCCGTGAAGGACCTGCAAGTATTAACTAAATACTTAAAAGCTGCGGGGTGTTTTTTTTTTTACCCCCTTGTACTAACAACAGGAAAGTCTTAGACATTAGGAAGTTTTAAAACAAAAACTTTGTTGCTCTTATTTGCAAGTATCAGGAAACCAGAGTCAGGCTTACTCCCTCCAAATTATATTTGGATCATTTTACCTTTCAGGGATGGCTGGTAAGTGAGAGACCATGAGTCACACCAATTCCTCACCATTACAATTCTTTCCCCAGTCTTGTTTGGGCTATTACAAGCTTGCTTTATGTGCTTGAAAGTCTATGCAACTTTCTAGGAAGCGTGTCTTTAAATGTTTAGTATTTATGCATGAACAATAACCACCCTTCATTTTCTCCTCTCCCAATTTATTAATTGTAATCTTTTTTTTAGTTTGGGGTAGAAAGTGTCATGACTGTTGCTGTTGACCTCTTTTTGCTACATGACCTTAAGGGGAAGCCTGGTCACCTGAAAGCCAGCTGAAGTGGATTAGAATGGTTCCTTGCTTTTATATGGATCTATGGTAAAATTAAAGCACATTATCTAGCCTTTCTGCTCAGTGTTGTGCCCCAGAATCATTGGTTTGAATTTGGGAGGCTCAAGTTAGCCTAGTGGGTGGAAGGGAGAAGAGTCAAGAGGAAAGAACAGGCTGTGAAATCCAGTCTCTCAGACACCTTTACTTCCACACTTCATAAAGATCAACCAAGTCACCCTAGCTGGGCTACAGGGAAATAAACGGCATTTAAAGAAACAAAAAAGGGGCCAAAGTAGATTAAGCATTCAATTTTGGAATGGCAAACGAAGAACATTGCACTGAAAATATGAAGTTTGACTCAGGAGGGGAGAAAGTTCAACGCAAAGTGGTTCTAGACCACAAGAAATCTCTCAGACATACATAGCCTGTAACCCCTGGCTCCAACTTCTACAACCAAGTATTGCTTGTAAAACAGTGAAGACATCAATAGGAACAAATTTGCCAGTCCAATACAAAGAATTCATCAGTACCATTTCAGCCCTTCTTCACCAAGGTGGGGACCACCAGTTTAAATGCACACCTAGAAAACCCCAATAACCTTCACTGGGGTTAATGTCACCATAGTTCATATGCTGGTTAGCTCCTCTGAAGCTGTTAAGAGTGATTTTTTTTAATTAAAAAAAAAAGAGTGCTCCCTTCCCAGCCAAGAATTAATATTAAAGATAGCTACATCAGTTGGGAGCACACTTATAAATGATATCCTTAATTCCATTTAAAAATTAGATATATTCTTACAATAAACAAATACAGTACCTCTAAACGGCATGTTATAATTCTTAAGAGTTAATTCATAGGCCGGCGTCCCCGGCTACTAAGTATACAAACTAGAACCTATACTTCGATTATCTGATACATAGATCAAGAACATTTCTCTGTACATTCTACCGTCTCCGTGTTTAAATATATTAAGAAGGGGGACATCATTCGATTAAAGAACATTATTTAAAAAAAAAAATCCGAAGAAATGTCTTTGTCCTGTAGAGGGCACACACGCGCAAGGAAAAAAAGATGGGTTGTTTGTGTTTGGACCCGCGCGGGCAGCGCCCCTTAGCGGAGCTTCTTGCCCAGGATGTGGCGGGCGCTTTTGAGCGGCTGTTTGGGGGCGCTGCCGCCGCCGCCGTGGATTTTGGACAAGGGGCAGTACTTGATGGTGTGCGCGTTGTCCCCGCTCGCCCCGCACAGCGGGCACGTGTATCTGCGCAGCACCGGGCACAAGACCCGGCCGTCGGGGCCCTTGAGGATGTGCGTGGTGTAGAGCGCCACGGCTTCCTTGTTATTCCGGCAGAAGACGCACACTTGCAGCTCGGGCTTGAGCAGCCGAGAGCCCGTCTTGGGCGCCGACGCCGGGTGCAGCCGGCCGTCCACCACCAGGCGGCCACCGCCGCCGCCGGGCCAGGCGTGCGCCGCCGAGCGATCTTTCTCCAGCGGGTCGGAAGAGCAGCTGAAGACGACCGACGAGGCCGGGCTGGCTCGGCCCGAGAAGGGGCTGAAGTCGGCGAAGCGCTCCTCCAGCAGGCTCTCGCCGGGACTCAGGTGGTGGTGGTGGTGGCTGCACAAGTCGAAGTCGCGCAAATCCAGGGCGCTCTCGAAATAAGGCGCGCCGCCGCCGCCGCCGCCGCCTTCCTCCTCGTCGTCTTCCTCCTCCTCCTCGTCGTCGTCGTCCTCGTCCTCTTCGTCGTCCTCCTCCACCTGCTGCACGGTGGCCGCCACCACCACCGACGAGGCCCCCCCGCGGAAGCCCTTCTCCTGCTGGCTCACGGCCTTGGTGACCAGCGTGGCCAGACCCAGGTAGTCGTTCCACGAGTTGAAGGCGTTCCCGTAGGCGCCGTGGCTCTTGGCGCTGTAGCGGGCGCCCCCGGGCAAAAACTCCACGGGCGGGTGGTGGTGGTGGTGGTCCAGCTTGGCGGGGTGGAAAGCCTCCATGGGACCCGAGACGGCTCCGCGCTTGGCCTCGCTCGCTCTTCCGAGGGGACTGGCGGCGCCAAGAAGCCGCCCGCTCGCCGAAACAGCAGCCGGGCAAACGCCTCCCTCCTCCTCCTCGGCGAGCCTTTTAGCGCTCGCGCGGCTGAAATAGATACATTCGCGAGGGAGGGACGGACCGAGGAGGAGGAGGAGGCGCAGCCCCGGGGCTGCTCTCTAATTGGACAGCCGCCAAAGCGGCCCCGCCGCCCCGCCTCCTGTCATTGGCTGATTACTCTGAGCACCCTTTCATCTCTTGCAGCTGGGCGAGGCTTCCTAAGGCTTTTGATCCGGAGCAGATAAGGGGTCCAGGTACGTCGCCAGGCTAGCAAAAGCAGGGATCGCTCGGACTCTCCGTCTCTCTCGCTCATGTTCAGCACTCTAGAGAGGAGAGAGGATGGTCCTCTTCAAATATCTGAAGGGCTGTTGCGTGGAGGATGGAGCAAGGTTGTTTTCTGCAGCTCTGGAGAGTAGGACCCGAACAAACGACTTCAAGTTACAAGAGATTCCAACTAAAGATAAGGAAGAACTTTCTGACAGTGAGAACTGTTCGGCAGTGGAACAGACTCCCACGAGAGGTAGTGGACTCTCCTTCTTCCTTGGAGTCTTTTAAGCAGAGAGAGGATGGCCATACCAGATGTATGATCTAGTTGAGATTTCTGCATTGCAGGGGCTCAAACTAGCTGTTGTGGTTCTATGTACTACAGGACTTGGCCCTGGAACGACGTTTCCCCCTCCTCCTTCCAAAAGCTCAGCTTTTAGGGAAGATGTAATGAGATGAGCATATGCAGAACGGCAACCTCTCACTCTTGAATAACCACAAACTAGCTTCCCATTTCTGGATTGTGCTTCAGCCAGACCCACTGAAATCAACCGGATTGGCTAACCTAAGCCCATTGATTTCAGTGAGTCTTCTCTGAGTATGACTTAGCTGGGTGCCAACATCTTCGATATGGTATTGCTCACACCTACCACTCTATGGGAGTTTGTTACCTGTTGACACCCTAATGGCATATTAATAAAATGACTAATATTGTCACTTTCCTTTTTTCATGGCAGGACATGTCATTTCCACAGTTATGGATAGGAATCAACAAATGAAACTTCCCAGCATAGAAATTCAGGGATGGAAAAAGGCATCACCTGTTCATCTCTGCCTGTTATGCTCCTGTTAAAGGCACATTGCTTCTGTTCATTAAGAAAAGAAATGGGCCCTAATGAGGGCTTTCCGTCTTCATGGTTCAATTGTCTAGTATTAAAGGTGCACCCCACCCCCACACCAGGGGTGTTTCTTCCCTCTGTATTCTATGTGCACAAGTTGTTGCTGATTCTCCCTGTGAGCAGTTGGGGGCCCCTCTGTGGGTTGAGCAGAAGAGCTGCATGTCTTGCAGGGATTGGGTGTGCTCAGAATGGTCAGCTGTTTGCCCAAGGGTTGTTCCCTCCCCCCATCCAGTGTGAATTAAAATGTTTTCTCCTGTCTTCCTCCTCATATGCTAAGCAGCATAACAATAGCACACTTTCATTTTTAGCATCTGTGCCACATAACTGCATTTATGCCCTAGGCAGCAGGTGAAGACAATCAGAAGGCTCTTGATCATATCCCCTGGAATGCAGGATATGTTACCCAGCTGATGAGCTACTCGGCTGCATCTCTATACATCCTTCTTGCAAGCAGCATTTCTCTCTCTCTCTCTCTTGGATATTTACATACTGTGGGTAGGATAGCTCTGGAATTTAGACACCCCAGGCAGTTGCATAGTTTGCCTCTATGTTGAGGCTGACCCTGCTCTCCCAGGGAACAGCTGTATTTCACAGGCAAAACAGGAATCCAGTTGGGAAAAAACATGGCAACACATAAAGTGTAAATTCACCTGCATGCATATGAAGAGATCCATTTTTGGCTGTATTGCCCATTACCTGCGCTGTGCAATATCACTAATGCGTGGCTTCAGGAGTCACTGGCCACAACTGGAATGGCATACAGGGAATACATTAGCTCAAAAGATATTCCCAATGCATTATTTCTCTCCATCTTACAGAGTATATAATAATGACAATATGTGCAGAGTTATTTACTGCAGACAATTATGCCACTACATTTTTTTGAACATAGAGATGCCACCTCGCTCCCCTCACCACAGTCAAATGATAGGTAGGGTTATGTTTAAGTTTCCTCTTACTTTAGTTAAGGCAGATATGGGGAACCTGTGGCCCTCCAGATATTGCTGGATTCCAACTCTGGGCCAGACACACAGCTCAGTGGTAAGGCATCTGCTGTGTATAGGACATCCCAGGTTCAACCCTCAGTGGCATCTCCAGGTCGGGCTGGGAGAGGACGCTGCCTAAAATCCTAGAGCCAGCCAGTATAGACGGTGCTCAATGGTCTGACTCCGAATAAGGCAGCTTCCTATGTTTCCATGATGATGGGAGTTCAACAACCAGTTCCTCATTTCCAAATAAGCCTTAAAACCAGTTCACCATTTCCAAATACCGGTAAGCCTTAACCCCAAATCACTATACGTATCAGTCTGCTTACTTTCAGTTGCACAATGTGCTCTTTCTCACATATATACACCATGACCTTTCTCAACTTACCGTATTTTTCGCTCCATGACACACCTGACCATAAGACGCACCTAGTTTTCAGAGGAGGAAAACAAGAAAAAAAAAATTCTGAACGAGACAATGGATGTATGATTTTTGTGGTTCATGCTGTGGCCACAAACATGTGATATGATGGTGAATTTGGGGTGACCCAATGCAAAAATCCCGAGGATCCATGGGCTTTTACCTCCCTCCTCCCAGGTAGCCGCCTCTAGCGACCCTTATCTCTCTTCCGATCCCACCGATCAGCTGTTTCCTTTCAACACTCCCTTCCCTCTTGTTTGCCCTAGTGTCTTTTCCTTAGCTGGAGCAGTTTTTTGCTCCTCCTTTTCTTCTAATTTCTCTCCTTATTGCTCAAGTCTTCCTGTTTCCCCCCTTTGCAAGTTTGCTGTCTTTACCTCCCCCCTCCCAGGCAGCCTCCTTTATCTCTAGTGTCCCTTATCTCTCTCGCTGATCATCAAACGATCAGCTCAACACCCACTTCCCTCTTTCAAAAAAGAAAAGAAAAAGAAAAACATGATCTGCTTTTTGCCCCTGGGCAATTCGGCTCCAGGGACCACGCATTCGCTCCATTAGACATTTCCCCTTACTTTTTAGGAAGAAAAAAGTGTGTCTTATGGAGCAAAAAATACGGTATTTAACTCTCCTGCCTGGCTTCAATGGATGCAGACTATCTTAATTTACCCTAAAAGGAAGAAGACGAGGAACATGAGATGGTTCTATATTCAAGATGAGTCCTCCAATAAGGCCGGTGAAACTGAGGGGGCAGATGAACCAAGAGGTCCTGTTTATGCTTTTCCCATAATCATCCCAGTTAGGTCGCTTATGAAACATGCACCCTATCCATAAACTGGAAGCAAATGCCAGGGGAAGGGGAAATGTAAACAGAAGCTCCCACTGGGAAGATATTGCTAAGAATAAGCAAATTGGGAAGCATAGTTATATATTCCTGTTTTAAATGGAAATTGCAAACCTCCAGTCCCAGGCGGGAATAAATGCAAGTTTAAAGAGCTTGGTAAAGAAAGGCACAAGCACGGCTTTTAGGAACATAGCAAGGTGCCTTATACCAAGTTGCATCATTGGTCCATCTAGGTTGGCATTGCCTGTAGTGACTGGGAGCATCTCTCCAGGATTTTAGGTCAGGATCTTTTGCAACCCAAGTGGAGATGCCAGGGACTGAATCACAAGTGAAGGTGGTTTGTGGCATGGCACCTATGCTAAGGTTACCAGACGTCCCCGTTTCCCGGGGACAGTCCCCAGATTTACAAATCAGTCCCCTGACAAAATCCATCTATTTAGTAGGAAGTTGAAAAGTGTCCCCGGATTCATTGAAAAAAATCTGGTAACCTTAACCTATGCTGTGTATTAGCCCCAGGGTCAAATAGGGTTTGCTAGGATCCTGTGAGAACATATGGGTGAGGAGTTGTCCCAGAAAGCCCTTAGCCCCTTCTGATAGGCACGGCTATTTACCCAGTATTCCCACCTCCTCTTTAGTCAGCCTACAAAAGTCCCACTATCCCATGCTTCACAGGCAAAATGCAGGTGCAGTAAAGAAAGACACAAGCAGGCATTTCAGAAGCCTCATGCAAGCAGCCAGTCAGGTATAGTAGAGGAGAAGGCAATTCTGCTCTGTCCTTCATCTCCTGGGGGCCACCAGCCTGAGCAGCAGAAAGGTTCCTCCCAAATATGCCAATTAGTCATCCAGTGAACGCTGCAAAAACAAATTACAGAATAACCCCAAGGGACATTTAATCAGCCGCAGTGCCATGCCTCCCACCATCCAGTCTCTGGTTGGGACAGCTTTGTGAAGTTGTGACATTGTTTCTGCCTGGTTGACCAACCCTTTCTCTGAAAGCTGGCAAAGTGGTGGTCCAAATCAATGGAATTACGTTAATAAACCAGGGAGTATAGAATACTGCTGTGGGTATGTTAGATGGAGCTAATCTTGGTCTTGCAGTAGAGACTCCTGGAAATGATCTATAACTGTAAATAAGTATTTCTACAAGGTTATCAAATATATATTTTAACACACACACACGCACACACGCACACACATTTATAATGCTTATTAATCACTGCCCTGTTAAATCATTCAAGCGATGCAAAGTATAATAAAAAAGAAAGAGTAAAATAACACAATGTAAGTACAATTATGCAAGATAACTCAAGATGACCAGTTATCATAGCATCGTAGAATCATACAACTGTAGAGTCAGAATGGGCTTCAAGTCATCTAGTCCAGCTCCCTTCAATGCAGAAATCACAGCTAAAGAATCTCTGACATCCATCCATCCAACCTCGGTTTAAAAGCCTCCAATGAAGGAAAGTCTACCACATTCTGAGGTAGTCTGTTTCGCTGTCAAACAGCTCTTACCATTAGTTATCAGTTAAGGTTTCATGGCAGCGGCCAAGAATACATACTGCAAGACCAATACAGTTCTGAAACACTCTATCACATTTTTGAGACACTTGCTAAACACACACACACACACACTTATTGCTTTTCATGTCAACTGGTTGGCTAAGCTTGCT